GAATTAAGATGTTAAAAAATCTCACTTGAAATGAGGACAAAGAAATAAAGACTGCATCACTTACATGTATTACTTGGCTTGGAGACCAAAAAATTACAAATATTTCTCTAATGCCTGCATTAAGGTTGTTGCACTATGGCATTTTCTCTTGCTTTAAACTAATTGTTTTTTGTGGTGTTTGATATGGTTTCTGATCAGAGAGTTTGTATGCATGTTAATAATTCATGTTAACCATCTCCCAATCTCTATCCCTGTGGATTTGCTTGTATGGCTTTCAAAGGAATATTGATTGTTTGGATTTACATGAAAGTTTTTTTGATTTGGATGTTTGTTATTGATCAGAATAGACTGTGAAGGTGTCTGCCAGAAATGTTAGTGTATTGTGATTATGAAATAGGGAGCATCTTTAAAGGCCTGAAGATGCAGTTGCAAATTTGTGTGTATTTTTAGTATGCAAAATACAGTAACAAAGGGAAAAAACTTATATTTAATTGTTCTACTCATGCACATGGCCTTGGTTTTGCAGTTGTACCAAAACCTTTGCTTTCACACTAAAAATATTGCCTTCATTTACATAAGACGGAATAATTTGTGCCAAGCTATTATTACTATAAAGCCTAGAGGAGGAATCATTAGTATTCAAGACATACATATAAAAAAATGCCTCATTAAAGGTGGGAGTTTCAGTGGTAAGCCCTCTAGAACAGACAGTGAGTGGTGGCACAGTACTTGAGTATAGAAACTCATATTTAACCCTAATTACAAAATGACAGCTTATCTACAGAGAACACCGTGGTGCACAAGGTCACCTCATATTGTCTGGGGCACTTAAGCTGAAATATGCCATGACATTTCTGAGATCAGATTTTTTGCTCCATGCTGGGCTGCTTTTGCCACAAATCCCACTAAAAGCCAATCATTTTTTTTAGAAGAATGAATATTGATTTCATCCTTATAATTTAGTGATTAATTTAATAAAAGAAGAAATTTTCTTTAATTTTTTTTGCATTGATTTGGTTAGTAGCTTTGTTAAATTTTGGTTAAAATAGGTGTTGAAAAACTCAAAGAATTTTGCCTTGGCTTTTCCATCATTTATTCACTGTTAAAAAAAATTGGATTTACATTGTATTCATGTCAAGTTTAAAATAAGATCAAATATTCTGAAAATAAGGTCCTCTGACACATGGGTCAATGCCTCTTGCTTGAATAAATGCAAATCGCTGCTTTGCTTGTTTACCAAAGGATCACAAAGAACTTGACTTGACTCTGGAACCTGCCAGTCATTAAAGCAGCCGGGTGATATATAGTATTGATCAATACACAATTATTAAACACTGTTCCCAACTGCTCGCAGGGAGAGTTGGAGTCAGTGTTGTATAGACAGTTGCAAGGATGAGTCGTGAGGAAGGCACTTTTACTGAGAGGTTCAAAGTATGGGCAACCATTGTTGGGAGTTTGCATGAGTTAGGTAGGTGAGGGTGCCCCAAGTGGGTGATGTGTTTTGCTAGCTTGATGTTTTTTTTTTTTTTTTTTTTCACTGAGGCATCTAGAGTTTGCAGCCGTTTTACTAGTTGACAATGATTGCAGAGGAATGTAGTTGTTGACACATTTTGACTGTGTTTCCAAATATAGCTGGGAAAGTGGCAGATCCCTAGCTAGAAATTGAATATTATTAAAGAAAACACTCAAAATATCGCTTTGTTAGCTAAGTACATGAGTTCAAAGCAATTTTGAATTGAAGATGAAAACATTTAAAAACATATCCACCTGAGTTCTCCCTGGGGAATAGAGAATAAAGCTCAGACATACCATGTTGTAGCAGATGCTATCCGTGCTGTTTTCGTTGAATATTGCTCTTCAAAAATTACTTTGTACTAGCCTACACTTTTTTTGTTTTTGTTTTTTGAAAAAGTATTATCTTCAGGATAACTCCAATTGTATTTGGTCAGTATACACTGGTTGTGTGGATATGTTGCGACTGAGTGCTCAAGAAAGTATTCTAGATGTAACTTTTATACATATATAATTTTTTTAAAAAATCAGTAGAGATAAGATTATAAGGAATACAAAAAGTATCTGAAATCAATTTATGTCTTGGAAAAATGCACAGGCTAATTATTAATTTCAGACACCTTTTGTCATTGCAGTTTTGAAAATTGACAGTTTATCAGAATCATATTTTTCACCTCTTTATTTTGGGAAATAATGGAAAAAAGAATTTTGTTTTTAAATGATATGCAAATCCTGTAATAAAGGGATCTAATTTCTTTTTTGTTTTCCTAGCTCGTACTGTAAGAGAGACCTCCTTCAACAGTAGCATTGATGAAGAATGCAGTGATACCCAGAGTACAGCTGATGGCAATCGCTCAGACTCTGCTGAGAAGAGAAAACTGTTGGACTTGGTGAAAGGATTAAAAAATGACTCACCTGAGCAACAGCGTGTGGTGGTAAAAAAAGTAACCTCAAAAGGCCTGGCAGACGATTCTGACAGTAGTGACAGTGGACCCGACTCACCAAAACTATCCTCACAAAGAAGAAGTCCCTCTTTAAAGAGCTCTTCCGCTATCTCTAGTGATCGCACTACAATCATCTCCACTTCTGATGAAGAAACTCCATCAAGGACTCCTGATGTTAAACAGAAATCCAAGCACAGGCCCCCAGGGGGACATGACATTCAGATGGATGATGTCCAGGCTTACAAGGTCAGAGGTCAAGGTCAGTTAAACATAGACAAAATTAATAATCATCCTCCAACTAAAAATAGGTATGATTTACAAGGTCTGAAAGAATCCAACAATAACTCTGTCCCACTTAGCCAAGAAGAGGAGGGGCTTGAGAGGACAGATGAGACTGAGGATTTTACTGTGGAAGAACTGACGCAAATTAAGTTCAAGCGCTGTTCGTCTAGACGGGACAATGGCTCAAATGCATCTGCCAGGGTTTCAAAACAAAGTAAGTATTTGTCTCCTGTTGGTGAATAGCACTGCAGTTTTATTTTACTTTTTTTCATAAACAAGCAAAGCTGTTTGTACATAACCCTATAACAAATAGACCAGGTATTGAACATTTTCATTTTTAGGTTTGAGGGTTGTTCAGTTGGTGTTTGGAGTGGTTTTTGTTTTTCAAATTAGCTAAATGTCAGGATCAATTGAATGCATTATTGCGATTATTTTTATCTGGAGAAGCATTAAGGCAGATTTAAAGACAGGAAGGTAGCAGTGTTATATGCACAAAGTTGGATATTTATGCTTTCTTTTATCTGTTGATGAACCCCTGGAAAATTGGATTCCTCATGGATTTTTTTTTTTTTTTTTTTTCGGGGGGGGGGGGGGGGGGGGGAGGATATCCAAATATCAATACATGTTCAAATATTTGTTGGCCAAAGTATGTTTAGGCTTATGCAACATTCTTTTTAAAAAAAGGGTTTGCATGAATGAAAAAATCCTGTTAGCTTGGTAATTACTGTTTAAAATATTTTCTTTGGTTAAAACATCTTAACAAAAAGTGTTTGGCATTCAATAAGAAAGGAAAACCCTTATCATAAAAAACATGCATTGAAGAAGGTAAAATTAGTGTTTTTTTTAATAGCACAAAATTAAAAAGTTGTCTTTTTTCCCGATGGACAGTTACATATTCATCATAATTAATAATGCTTTAATTGAAACTTTTGATAAATTATTCATATATACATAGTTGTTTGATCTAAGGTGTTGTAACAAAATAAGATGCGAAAAGAAGTCTTTCATCTTAAGTTTAAGTCCAAGAAGTTTGTCATTTCCATTCTTTGACAAATAATAGTTAGCAGTGTTAATTTACATGAACAAAATGCTAATTATACAAAAGAATGAACATTGTGATTTCAAATGCTATTTTTTGCTCCCTTTTCCTTACTTACTGTATGTGGTCACTGACATTTGCTACCCCTGGAGAAACAAAGCAATCCTATGGATTAGACTGATATATTGATTACTTGGTATGCACAAACATGGGAATGACAGTGTTATATTACAATAAACTACTATGGTGTTATCACTTGGTAGACTAAATCTACCATTGACAGCTACTTTTTTGGCTTTATTAGAAATTTACACAATCAGAATAAACCTGTGATATAGAAATAAAACACCTGTTTCACGGGCCTTTCCACTGCTTGAAGAACAAATTTTGTACATTCTCACCAACTTCAAAGTTGAGACTTTGACAATATTTGATAATCAGTGTTAAAGTTACAAAATCAACTTTGCTGTTGTGTAAAAGAGGGCTATCCGTATGTCCTGACTATTTTTCTAGGTAATCTACCTGCCCTTTACGAGGGAAATCTTCAATCATCCTCTAACACAATGTTATCTTATTGTACATCAACTCTTCTTTTGTCACCAAGGATTGATTTTGTAAATCAAGTGTTGCCGCACGGAAATTAATCTTTGGTGGAAACAGCCTTTTGTCCAAATTTCTAATGCCCACAGGGAAATACCATTTAATGAATATTTAATCTTTTGACCTGAATTTCAGGCCAATCTATCCCCGGGAATCTTTTATGCAATTATGTGTTACCAAAGTTCAAGTCCTGATGACAAAACTTTTAATCTTTTGAAGACATCAAATTAATGTGAAAAAAAGGTTAAATGTGCCCAGCTTGAGATTTTCTTGTGAAAAATTTTCCTGGGGTAAACAATTATTCCAACTAACCAACTTTGATCCTCCTTTCCTGACACTAGCTATAACTCTGTTACAATCTGGGGAAATGAAAAGTCCTTAATCCATGCCTAAGCATGACTTTTTGAAATTTTGGCATCATTTATTATAATAAGAGCTGCGACTTTTGGGTTGCACATGATTCAAAACTGTTTGTCAAGATTTGTTATGAAATGTTGAATTATATCATTTTTGGCAATATTCATGGCATTTTTTTTTTTTTTTTGTTAGAAGTGATCAAAATGTATTAATATATTACTTGTCCTTAGCCAAGTTCAACATGAAGTAGTTTATGTACTTTCAAGTAAAAAAATGTGTGTTTAAAATCTAACAATTGTGTCGTTTTAAAATTCCATGGTCTTTTGTTTAAGGAATCGATCTGGTCATTTGGTCAAGTTAACCAGAATTCATTATCAATCTTAATTTTAATATAGAAAGATAGAATATAGAAAGATTATCTTGAAGAGAAAAGATGTCCTCTGTGTAAGAAGGGTTATTTTAGTCATCCAGTATCTGTAGGCAATAATCATGTCAGAAACAACCACCATCTTATTGGAGCTGCCCCTAAGCACATTTTATAGTGTATTTAAAATCGTACCCATTCATATATCTTACATTTCTTTCCTTTCCTTTTCTGTTGTAAATAACTTGGATATATATATATGTGACCTTGCATAGCAAATGGTATCAAGAGTTCGAGTACCCTTATGTTTGACAGTCATTGTCTTCAAATATTAATAGTCAGCAGCCAACTGTCTGTGTATTTTGCTTCCAGAGAGATTTTAGTCTGGCTGATAATGTCTATTTTCTCCACAGATAATAAATTAGGCAAAGTTAATTTGTGGTTCAGATTGATTTTTATTCTTTGACAATGCACGCAGGAATTCAAGTTGGAGACTTAACTAATTGGCCAAATTAAGTAACACAAAAATGTCATTGGTAAGGAGAATGACCCTGTCTTATTTGATTTATGAAGCTTTTACTGTCATATGATGGTTTCTTCACTGACTATATGTGGTGTAGAAAAAGGCACTATTGATTCTTTAATCTTATTGGAAGGATATCATAAATGTAGCCAAACAGCTCACTTTTTTGAAGGGAGTTAAATCCATTGCGTCTCTTAAATAGTTTTGGAAATAGGCTGCCCCGCTGAATTATTTTTGAACAGTTGTGTGATTTAGATAGGTATATTCTATCACCAGATAAATACATATTACATCCCAAGGTGTGATGATGTGTGTCTTACCTATTTACTGATTCTTTTTACCCTGAGCTTTTTGGTCTGATGTGAGATACCTTGTTTATTTTAGAACTTCTGGTCTCCACCTTTGGTGTTTGGTGGGCCCTAGATGGAACCTAAGTGTTGTCCATCTGTCACTATACACTATCCATAGCAACACAATAATCCAGTGGTTTACAGGCATCTGCTTGAAAATGATGTACCTATTAGTTAAAAAACTATAAACATTTATAGAATGTATTGTTTTAACACCAATTTTTGACCTTTGTAAAAAGCTGATTTCAGAGGAGAAGTAAAACATTTTAAATGTCTGTAATGATTTACTCGATATCCTCTGGAACATGCTAAATAACATATTAGAATGATTTTTCACGCATGTTGAATCTTAAGTGAATAGTTTTATCAACTAGGTCATGCATGTATATCTCACATAGTGGAGTCTGGAATTCAGATGATGGGAATGATAATTTGCAATTGGCAAAAACAGCATAATTAAAAATGCTGTGTTCATTTCTGACATTTTCTTGTTACTTGGAGCTAATTTCTGCAGAAATAAACATTCATTTTAAAATGTAAATATAGAGCCAATTTTTCTTTATGTTAGGCTCATTTGATGTNATTTTTTTCTCCCTTTTCCTTACTTACTGTATGTGGTCACTGACATTTGTTACCCCTGGAGAAACAAAGCAATCCTAAGGATTAGACTGATATATTGATTACTTGGTATGCACAAACATGGGAATGACAGTGTTATATTACAATAAACTACTATGGTGTTATCACTTGGTAGACTAAATCTACCATTGACAGCTACTTTTTTTGGCTTTATTGTTTCACGGGCCTTTCCACTGCTTGAAGAATAAATTTTGTACATTCTCACCAACTTCAAAGTTGAGACTTTGACAATATTTTATAATCAATGTTCAAGTTACAAATCAACTTTGCTGTTGTGTAAAAGAGGGCTATCCGTATGCCCTGACTGTTTTTCTAGGTAATCTACCTGCCCTTTACGAGGGAAATCTTCAATCATCCTCAAACACAATGTTATCTTATTGTAAATCAACTCTTCTTTTGTCACCAAGGATTGATTTTGTAAATCAAGTGTTGCCGCACGGAAATTAATCTTTGGTAGAAACAGCCTTTTGTCCAAATTTCAAATGCCCACAGGGAAATACCATTTAATGAATATTTAATCTTTTGACCTGAATTTCAGGCCAATCTATCCTCGGGAATCTTTTATGCAATTATGTTTTACCAAAGTTCAAGTCCTGATGACAAAACTTTTAATCTTTTGAAGACATCAAATTAATGTGAAAAAAAGGTTAAATGTGCCCAGCTTGAGATTTTCTTGTGAAAAATTTTCCTGGGGTAAACAATTATTCCAACTAACCAACTTTGATCCTCCTTTCCTGACACTAGCTATAACTCTGTTACAATCTGGGGAAATGAAACGTCCTTAATCCATGCCTAAGCATGACTTTTTGAAATTTTGGCATCATTTATTATAATAAGAGCTGCGACTTTTGGGTTGCACATGATTCAAAACTGTTTGTCAAGGTGTGGCAAGATTTGTTATGAAATGTTGAATTATATCATTTTTGGCAACATTCATGGCATTTTTTATTTTTTATTTTTTTGTTAGAAGTGATCAAAATGTATTAATAGATCTGGTCCTTAGCCAAGTTCAACATGAAGTAGTTTATGTACTTTCAAGTAAAAAATGTGTGTTTAAAATCTAGCAATGTGGCGTTTTAAAATGTCATGGTCTTTTGTTTAAGGAATCGATCTGGTCATTTGGTCAAGTTAACCAGAATTCATTATCAATCTTAATTTTAATATAGAAAGATAGAATATAGAAAGATTATCTTGAAGAGAAAAGATGTCCTCTGTGTATGAAGGGTTATTTTAGTCATCCAGTATCTGTAGGCAATAATCATGTCAGAAACAGACACTATCTTATGGAGCTGCCCCTGGGCACATTTCATACAGTGCATTTAAAATCGTACCCAATGATATATCTTACTTTTCTTTCCTTTCTTTTTCTGTTGTAAATAATTTGGATATATATATATATATATATATATATATATATATATATATATATATGACCTTGCATAGCAAATGGTATCAAGAGTTCGAGTACCCTTATGTTTGACAGTCATTGTCTTCAAATATTAATAGTCAGCAGCCAACTGTCTGTGTATTTTGCTTCCAGAGAGATTTTAGTCTGGCTGATAATGTCTATTTTCTCCACAGATAATAAATTAGGCAAAGTTAATTTGTGGTTCAGATTGATTTTTATTCTTTGACAATGCACGCAGGAATTCAAGTTGGAGACTTTACTAATTGGCCAAATTAAGTAACACAAAAATGTCATTGGTAAGGAGAATGACCCTGTCTTATTTGATTTATGAAGCTTTTACTGTCATATGATGGTTTCTTCACTTACTGCATGAGGTGTAGAAAAAGGCACTATTGATTCTTTAATCTTATTGGAAGGATATCATAAATGTAGCCAAACAGCTCACTTTTTTGACGGGAGTTAAATCCATTGCGTCTCTTGAATAGTTTTGGAAATAGGCTGCCCCGCTGAATTATTTTTGGACAGTTGTGTGATTTAGATAGGTGTATTCTATCATCAGATAAATACATATTACATCCCAAGGTGTGATGATGTGTGTCTTACCTATTTACTGATTCTTTTTACCCTGAGCTTTTTGGTCTGATGTGAGATACCTTGTTTATTTTAGAACTTCTGGTCTCCACCCTTGGTGTTTGGTGGGCCCTAGATGGAACCTAAATGTTGTCCATCTGTCAGCTATCCGCTATCCATAGCAACAAAATAATCCAGTGGTTTACAGGCATCTGCTTGAAGATGATGTACCTATTAGTTAAAAAACTATAAACATTTATAGAATGTATTGTTTTAACACCAATTTTTGACCTTTGTAAAAAGTTGATTTCAGAGGAGGAGTAAAACATTTTAGATATCTGTAATGATTTACTCGATATCCTCTGGAACATGCTAAATAACATATTAGAATGAATTTTCACACATATTGAATCCTAGGTGAATAGTTTTATTAACTAGGTCATGCATGTATATATCACATAGTGGAGTCTGGAATTCAGATGATGGGAATGATAATTTGCAATTGGCAAAAACAGTATAATTAAAAATGCTTTGTTCATTTCTGACATTTTCTTGTTACTTGGAGCTAATTTCTGCAGAAATAAACATTCATTTTAAAATGTAAATATATAGCCAATTTTTCTTTATGTTAGGCTCATTTGATGCTCAGCTACAAGGAGGATTTGATGGTAATTATAAAATGGGGTTTGTGAAGCATGAAGAAATGGTTTGATATTTAAACCATAGCTTTTTTGTTTGTGTTTCACTGCATGAGGATAGTTTACTCTATCTACAAATACATGAACAGCATGACTTAGCTTTCTAGATTTTGTTCTGAGGGATTTTTTTTTTAATTGACCTATACTCTCCAGAGGGAATTATCCCTTTCAACATGTATAATTCTGTGGTGATGGAGGCAACTTAAATGATTTGATGGATTATGTTCTTGTGTACTTTATCCATTTTGAGGAGATATATGTATGATTTTGGGAAAGTTTTTAAGTGGAAGAGGAGTTTGCATCCTGGATAATTGAAGGTAGATGGACTTGATGTTTTTTTCTTTTTTCATTAAATGGGGTTGTTATATATATATATATATATATATATATATATATATATATATATATATATATATTTTTTTTTTTTAAATGGTCTTGATATAATGCTGTGCACTTGTGGATGACTGATTTTTCATTTTTTAAATAAAATACTCAACTTTTTGGCAGTATGATTATGATTATGATAGTTAAGTCTTATCTTAATTGATGTGACAGTCCAAGTCAGAACCACAGAGTCAGTATCCACATGAGACCTGTCCCTACGTTAACCAGCCAGCTTTGATGACCATATCCACAATATACACTTAAAACATTATTTGTTTGGTATTTTTTATTCAGCTGAACCTGGTTTTTATTGATCGGGCTCATATTGAGTTTTATTTCTTACAGTTCCAGTGTTGGAGTAGTACATTTGCACACAATCAAATTTTTCATAGGATTTTGCTTATTATAATGGGCCCCTATGAAGAGCAAACATGCTTTAGTTTCTTTCTAACTTTAATGCTGTAATTTTGGTAGGGAGAGTACTGCATAGGGTGCTGAAAGTAGCTCATGCTGCTGCTTAACAGATTAGTGATACCACTGACATAGGGGAATTGCATGCATGATCTAAAAGTGCTTTAGTTTTGATTTATCATTTTTGCTTTGAAGCTTGTCATTTTTTACAAGACCCCATATTCATCTGAAAAAAAAAAGCACAACTGTCATTGAAACTAAAATTTTGGCCATTATATAACATTAATCTATTATATATTTTAAAATATATATACTCTTAGAAAGACTGCCAGTCAAGAGGCATTGAAGATGTCCTGTTATCAAACCCTGAATTGTTTTAACTTGTCAATTATTCTAATGCTAATATCCATCCATCCATCCATCTGTCCGTCAACAATTCAGTCATAGTTCTGTACTCAACAAGTGGCTAGTACCAAGAGGAGGGTTCATGGTTCAGTTAATTTATTGAATCTGCATTTCTTTTTCAAGTGCTGCTCGGCAAATACATCTATACTGCTTTCTAAAATTTATAATTTATGCATCGATAATTAAAACAAATGCTGGATTAAATGGACTTCTTGTACTTCTTGAAGGTGTTTGAGATTTTACTACTGCTTTTTGAATTTGATTAGTGATTTACAAGTGCATTTGCTAATTCTATTTTATGATGTAGTGATTGATAAATCCATTGCATACACATGACATAAAATGTTCAGTAATTCATTTCAACATTGTAATTATTATTTATTTTATTATCCTGTAACTATAACATCTCATAAACTCATTCAAGTCTGGGTAATCTCAGCACCCAAGCAGTTAATGTTTTCTCTTTTTTTTTCTGCAGCATCGCTTCCACCTGTGGACTCTAGTTGTGAAGACCGCTCCTCTGTTGACTCTCAAACTGGGGAGGAGGAACATAGCTGGGCGGGACAGCAACCGTCATCATACTCAACTAACTTTCCTGATGGGCCCTACTCAGGTACTAATCCTTCTCTTAAGTCTAACCACAGTAGTAGCCACCCGCTTGCTAATAAACCCTCCTCTAGATCTGTAGCTAGCCATGGCCAGATTCTACCCCAGCATGAAGGGAAGGGAAAGGGTGGTGAAGAGAATGAGGCAGGGAAGCCTTCAGCTAATAGACCTAGATACCCACTTGCAAAGAGTAATAGCTTTGAGAACCCATTGTTTGAAGAAGATGATGAAGATGTGGCTGTTCCAGAAAAGACAGCTGCTGTTCTCGATTCCGACAGCAACCACGAGTCTGATGAGGATGAAAGAATGCTGCTTGAACTCAGAAATGCACTGAAAGATTCTTTGAAAAACCAAAGTTTTGACAGCGAAGAATCGCTGTCCAAGTTTAAGGAAGCCAATACCAGAGGTGATGTACTGGATGATGATGACATCTTGACAGAAATGGCGGACACCATCAAAAAAATCAACTCTATGAGACAAAAACAGCCCAGTCAGGAAGATGCTATGTCAGACACTCTGAGTATAATCACTGAGATAACAGAGCCTGGGGATGACATTTCTGTAAGGTCCATTTCAGTCAGCGAATATGGGGAAGAGCAAAAGGCAAAGATAATTGAATATTACACAAAATTAGGCATAGATGGCGTACCTATTTCTTCATCAGAGAGCACAGCTGAAGAGAGTGATCATCAGGAAGTATTTGATGTTAGTACAACAGATGGACAGACGGACAATGCAGTTACAGAAAAAAGTTTTGAAACAACTGATGTAAAAGCCCAGGCTTCTGAAAAGCACTTTGAAAAATCTAAGTCTTCAGAAAAAGCCAAAAAGAGAAGACTGAAGTTTTTCAGAAGGAAATCCAAGAACAATGAAAAAGACCAAAAGGACAATTCTGGTCAGACCAGTAGTTTTGCCTCTTTTGGAGCATCCTTTGATGATGTGGTGGAACAAAATTTGAAACAACTTGACAGAACAATTTCAAATGTAAGTTTAGACATCCCAGATACAGCAGAACCTGTACAAGGTGCCACAGGTACACCCCCCACGCCACCTAGTGGCCAAGCACTTGAGCAGTCCAAACTTGCCAACGTAACAGAACCTCAGATAGTCGCAACTAACAGTTATCAAACAGACACAGCTCCTCATCCTGTCAAAGTAGTTGTCACGCCAACTGCAGCAGAGCCAAAGTCACATCTTGCCACCTCTGGTCAGAAAAGGAGATATGAAAAGAAAGAGACTTCAGGTAACAGTCCAGATGATTACCTGAATGTATCGGATTTGGTTGGGAAGTGGGAATCCATGAGCCCTCATTCAAAGAGAAAGGCCACACAAGATCTCACAGAACCAGAAGGAAAGGACCTTTCTGTTCCACTGTTCCAGGAACAGCAACCACTACCAAAGGTGGAAGATCAGCCTGAACCCAGGCATAAAACAGCTCCGTTTTTCAGTGCAGCAGAAAAAGTTCAAACTGAAAGCTCCTCCCTTGAAAGCAAAGGGGAACACAGTCAAGGTGACAGCGACAGCACTATCAGCTGTGATGAGGGGCATTTGTCTGCTGAAAGTGAAAATAGGAATAGCATCATTCATGTTGATGGAGAGGAAAACCTTAATGCTGGTGCTAATTCCAGAGGAAATGGTAATAATGCAGAAGAATTAATGGAGGTGAGTGAACCCTCAGTAGGGGGAAGTGATTTGGATAGAACAAGAGATGCCATTTCAGATGAGCAGGAAACTGCAAAGAGAACATCAAGCAGTAATGACTCAGTGGAAGTTACAGATGAAAACATCAGTTTTGATGAAGCTATCGATACTGATGCTCCATTAAGTGGAAATGCAGACAATCTCCAAGAGAAGGTCAGTTGTGAAGACAGTACACAAGTTAAACAACCTGAAGCAGCATCTACCCCACTTCATGAACATCAAGTGCAAGAATCATTTGAAAAGCAAATGGCAGGTGATAGAAAGCTTTCTTTAAACCTTTCTCTCAGTGGTGGAGGGCCAACAAATTCTGATTCATCCAAAATAGGAGATCATACTAGTTTAAAATCTTCTTCCTCTGATCACTCTCTGCCAGATTCTCCTAGTACTTCTTCTATTTCTAGTCGCACCAGACCTTTCCTGCGCTATAACTCCTCTCCTGCTGTAGCCCCCTCGCCCTCCTCCTCCCCTCCACCCAAACCACTGCGACATCAGCCAGTCAGCATTGATTCCGGTACTTTTCCAGCAGGTAAATGGGATTCTATATGAAACAAGAAAACACCCAGAGAAAGATGGAAGACAATAGGCTTCATGCTTTGTTTTATTTCATATATTTATTTTTTCATTATTATTTTTGTAATTGTTGTGTCATTATATTTTTGATAATCGTTACACTAAATTTGTTGTTTTGCTTTCTAGTGAGGTGATTTTATGCTTATTGTTTTGGTTGAGATTTGACTTGGACACTAATATCATAATACATGCACTAGTTGTGATGAACTTCCATGATGAAGATTTGAAACCACATGAGAAGAGAGCACTTAATTTTTTATACAACCAATGTTTGTCTTTCGTTAAACAGACTGTTAGAAAATACCATTGTTGTGCAGTGTATCAGTAAGTGAAACAGTGTTAAGGTTGGGACCTAAGCATATGTTAAGTCAGAGATGCTGCAAGGTATCTATGACATTTAAGCTCCCTTGTGGAATCCTGTTTGTCTTGGCATTATAGTCTTACAGGCATACCATGTGCTTGGTTGTTATCTGTATTCCCATATTCCCCTTAGACCAGTGTTTGGCTTCTTGTAGTAATATTATATTGACTTTATTTTAAACACAAAGTGGAAGCTTGTTTTATCATGCTAGCTGGGGATAATGTTGTTGATCTTATGTAGAGCACCAGGTGGCATGTTTCCTTAAATTGAAGTGACATTTTTTTCTTTTTTGAGGGGGAAGATCTACATCATCGTATCAATTTTGAGAAAACATGCAAATTGAAAAAAAATTGCCTTTCTCCACAAAGAAACTGTTCTCTTATTGTGTTTGGCTTGTAAATGAGAACATTGCATGTTAAGGAATTATGAATTACATTAGTGGAATTTTTGCTCCCTTGAGTTTAATTGCCTTGAAACCTACAAAACTGTTTTGGTGGGGTTGATAAGTTGAATTGCAATCTTTTGACATTTTTGTCAAACAAAGGCAAAACAAAAATTATTGAGGCATATATATTTTAGGTGCTACAGGGAACACAACTTTGCAAGCCTCATTAAGTTGGGGTCTGGGCTACGATGGGTTATCATTTATTCATGAATTGGATATGATGTTGTTGATATAATGTCAGATTGAACTTATCACAAGGTAGATGTTTCTATAGGCAAAATGGCTTGTTTTGTGATAAGACACTTCATTAATTTTTTAAAGAAAGTAAATATAGTGAGAAAACTTCTTTAGACATTTAATGGATTTTTAAAGATATTTAAGGTATGTGTTAAAATGATATTTATTATGCATATTTTGCCAAATGAACAAAACATTCGAAGTTTGGTCCTAATTTTTTTTTTCTTTTTTTACAGAAGCTTTTCATATGTATTTTAAATTTTGCATCATAAAATTTTATGTGAGAGCATTTTTATAAGTATGGAGTGATAACTACCAATTAATAATGGTTTTCACAGATGTAAAATGCAAATGCAAGTATTGTTATGTTTTTTTTATTGATAAAAGAGTTGTCAACCAGACAGAATGTCGAAGGGCAAGAAAAGTCTTTGGGATTATTGCCAATGAAACTATATATTTCTGTACATTGATTCAACTTCGAAGGGACTCTTGCTGAATGCAATCACATTAAAACTCCTACTGTGTCTAGGGCATTTGAAAAAGTACCAGCTTTTCTGTGTTTTACTTAATGCCAAGAGGAGGCTTGCCAATCTGTTAATCTGGTTGCATTCAGCAAGAGTCCCCGCAGATTTGGTTCAGTTTACATAGAACGATAGTTTAATTGGAAAAGAGCCCTTTGAAACAACCTATGACAGAAGTTTATTCTTCTTGTAGATTTTCCATCATGGTGACATTCTAAATTAACTTGCACATTGATGAAGGAAATGATGTGATAAATCCTGTAAACTGTACTTGTAATAATTAAGAATAACAAGTTTATTTTTTCACAGATGAAGCTGATGATTCTGACAGAGCACTAGCTTCCACACCATTAGACACAGAGCAGAGCAATGGTCATGCTAATGGTCACTCAGTCAGGCCTCCCTCTATCTCGGTCACTTCTCATGCTGAAGATGACCAGGAGGTAAGTTTTTTTCAACCATAGACATAAAGTTCCAGCTCATCAGTGTCAGTTTTGTTTTATGAGATAAATGTTTCAATCATTGCAGTAAATGATTTCTTAGCAATAGACTTATACTATATATGTTATCGCTGTAATATCATATGTCATCCAGGTCTAACAATCTACTGACCCAAACCAAAATTCACTGGCCCAAGCCGAATTTTCAGAAAAATTTACTTGTATTAACACATTGAGATTTAACAGGTTTCTTATTACAAAGAAGAACAAAAAGTTGGGATTTTCCTAAGTTAATTGCAAAAAAAAAAACACTTCAGTATTTAGCCTGAACATTTATAAATCAATTAGAGTACATGTTACACAACTCAAAGCTGAAAAACAACCAGTAACTGACTGCTTTTCAGAAATTTCACTGGCCTGGTTCGATTTTTACCGGCATTGGCAGTCAGGCCAGTGGTTAACAATTCAGACTGCTCTGTATTTTATCTCTGCATGCTTTACTTTTTGCATTTATTATCAAGAAAATCAGTAAAAAAAATGCACATGCCAATTATCTTACCTTGGCAGTTAGTATGATACTACAGTGTTTAGGATGCACCATAAATTTCACAGAGCACTTAAGGTAATGCCAATAATGCAGTTTGGAGGGGGCTGGGAAGTCGCAAATACAAATCTACATAAATATGACTAAGTGTGATGAAAGTCCAGCATGCTGAGGTTACAGATGAACAGTTGTTTTTCCTAATATTACATTTGCCAGACAACATGAAATACACCCGGGAAATCATTCTGCTTTTATCAGTAATTGTAGATAAGTGAAGGGTAAGCAGCAGCAAGGGGGTAATGTAATATAGCTCATGCAAGTAATCTTTTCAGAAGCAATACAATTGATGGCCAGTGGAAAGATATACTTGTAATCAATTTAATAAAGAGTGAAAGTACATCTTACCTAAACAGTTTTTGTGAAGAGCGTTTGGCTTCTATGTAAATAAGATGATTCGAACCTCTGAAGTTAATAATGCACAATCATTGCCCTTGATGAATTGCAAATTCTTATGGAAAACTTTTCATCAAGGCAATTTCTATTGCTGTAGGTATGTGAAATTATTCAAAAGAGTTTGCACTAAATCTTTGTTCTGGACAATGACAATTTTTAAAATATATTTTAACCCATCTAGCAGCTATCTAACCAAAATGGACTTTCACTAAGGAAACACCAGTATAACTCACTACTGTCAGTTTTCCAACTTTTTGGGAGCCAATAATATCATTTGATATCAATGCAGAGGGCCCTGAACCCTATATCATATTTTCAAACTTTTTTTTGCTAAATGGCAGTCTCATCCCTGAACTGAAAAGATAAAAGAATTACTGCATGTTAACACCAGGTAATGGTCTGTGTGTTAGCCTAACTCTCAGACACATGTTTATCACTGGCAGTGAAATAATTTCAGTTGGTCCTAAACCACTTGGTTCCTGTTGGCAGCTGAGTATATAGTCAGGCTGACGCCTCATTAAGGAGCAGTACAGCCTTTTTAAAGATGGCGTTTTGATCCAAATTTATGCTGTCGCAGTTCTTAGTTAGTCCCAGGATTGAATGCCTGGTCTATAAGTTTGAAATGAAATGTTATCTGTATCCATATCAAATGAAAATTGAATTTATAAATGTCTTATTTAATACTATACATTCAACCCCCCCCCTCCCCCCCCACACACACACACACACACACACACACACACACACACACACACACAGAAAAAAAAATCATGTGACACAGTACCATGGTTCCTCGTGAACAAAATAATTTACAAATTATGTTGATAGTGTACAAAAGAAACAGGATGTGAGAAGCATTATGTGGGAAATATGTTTCTATTGAAATGTATCAATGTAACATAAAACAGAGTAAGAACATCTGCTGAGAGCTGAACTGTGGTTGAAACAGAAATAACAACCTACTGTTGTCATTTTTCAGATTCTCTCTGAGGAGCTTACTGACACTTTCAAAGAAGATGAGAATATTGATGAGCTCTTCGCAACACACAGGTCCATCCATTCCAGTACAGGAAATTTGCATGTTTCATTTGGCGTAAGTGATTTTGTGTCATACTTCTCACTCAATACTACGCTTTGGGAACTGTGGAGCTTGGATATTGGCTGTATCCCTGATGATTGCTATTGTTGAAGTTCAAATACACTACATTTTCTTGGGATTGTCTACATTCATGCTGTTAGTATAAATCACATTGGAATAAATTTTGTGTTAAAAAGAAGACTTAAGACTTATTGAAGTCTAAATATGACATGTTAACTGCTTGATGCCATCGATAAGATACCCCCCCCCCTTATTGTGTTCAATATATTTTGATGGGCTACAGTATCCCACACAGTGTTAGAGAACATCATTAGTGGTGAAGTGAACTATTTGAATTACACTGAAATTTGATCAATTTATGATACAAAGCTGAAGCAGTGATATCTGTTATGTGCTGGTTGACAAAAACTACATTATATCCTGACAGGGTAAGAAGATTTGTGTGATATACACATAAACACGAACCCTTGTGTATGTGTCTTTAAGACAGTGAATAACGAGTATGAGACAACAAAATGTGAAAGAAGTAGGAAGTTGATTTCTCTTTTTTTCTCTTCTAGGGAAGCCAAGGAAGTCTTTCCAGTTATTACAGCAATGCAGGGGAGGATCGCTATGGCAACATCCCTGTGTCTGGAGAAATCCTGCTCAGTATGGAGTATGACTACAAGAAAGGGTGGCTGGTTATACATATAAAACGCTGCCAAGACCTAGCTCCAGCTGATGTCAAGAAGAATAGATCTGACCCGTAAGTTTTTTTAAGTTGTTTGCCAGATGAGACAATTCAAGATCGTAAATCATGTGAATGCAAAACATGTCATTTGTAGATTTTGTCCACCAAAAAATAATTTCCATGTGTTTGTCCAAATGCCTAGAACTCAACACAATTTTCTTGAATTTTTACCATTTAAATATCTTTGGGTTACAGCTACGTCAAGACCTACCTTTTGCCAGATAAAACAAGAGGAGGGAAGAGAAAAACAAAGATTAAGAAGCATACCTTGAACCCCACATTTGATGAATCATTGCGGGTAAGATATGTTTCAGCATGAGCTATAAAGGAAATAATTTGGTTTCAATAGTTGGTGCTAAGTATACAAGGTAAATCGTTCAGTACATCGAGAAATATGTTTTTGGTTATGTATATGCTGTGATTTATCTCCTGACAGTTGCCCACTTTCCTGTTTTAGTACATTGTCACTAAGAGTGAGCTGGAAACGAGAACTCTGTGGTTGTCAGTCTGGCACAGTGATACATTTGGGCACAATGAGTTCCTGGGTGAGGTTCTTCTGCCCCTTAATGAGCAGAACTTCGATGACACCTCGCCGAGGTGGTTCCAGCTATCAGAAAGGGTAAGTAGAAGAAGTTGGAGTGGTATTTTAAAGCAATGTTAAATTTTGATTAAGAAAGCAGGTTGAAATATTTACTTTGGTAAAAAAATATTGGGTTCATTTCAGTGCAGTAGTGCCTGTAGGTTTGTTTTGATATGTAAAATTGCCAGGCAACCAAGGTAACTGTTGCAGTGTTTGCATGATTACCGTATGTTTATAGGTTTGAATGAGATGGGTGGTGCTCATTCCTAGAGCTGGCATTTTCACATTGATGGCAAATGGCATTATGGTTATTTTTACATTTTTATGTTTTTCTGGCATGGCATATATAGCAAGTGATTGGAATTTTATTGTGAAATTTATATTATCAGTGAATACAATATTATTTTTAAAAGTCATGTTAAAATACGTTAACATAACATTGATGTTTTATTTTCACTGAACACTTTTTTTAATGGTTGGCTGGGTTTTAAAATTGCAAACTAGTTAAAACTAGCTGAGGTGGAACTCCATGAAGTATGATTTGTATTGATTAAAGACGGCTCTCCAAATTTATCTTGCACTTCTATACATGTATATCCTCATGCATTATCATAATTACCGATGATTGGATTATTTCAGATTGCAGAAGAAGATACTTCATTGGCTTACAGGGGTGATCTGAGTATTTCTCTGAAGTTTGTCCCACCAGAGTTCCTCTCCAGTGACTCTCCAGCAAAGAGTAAGAAGAAAAGCAAGAGGTCTTCCACAGAACCAAAAAATGGTCAGCTCCATGTTATGATCAGGGAGGCTAAGAATCTCATTGCGATGAAATCTGGGGGGACCTCTGATCCTTTCTGTAAAGGGTAAGTTCTTTGTTATGCAATATTGAGCATTTGTATCTTGTATTCCAATGCCGCTGTTAGATTTCTGTTTTTTATATGGTCTGTAAGCAAAGCAATTGGGCTTTTTTCTGAATTAATATCATAAATCATTGTATTATCACGTGTCAAACTTAGCATGCAAGTTCTTATACTTCTCATAATGATGCCGTGTACATTTGAAGTATATATGTGAAGCAGGATGTCAATCTACCTGGATTTGAATCTCCTCTGTGACAGCTACATATACTATTTATTTTTCAGATACATTCTTCCTGAGAAGAGCAAACATGCCAAGCAAAAAACTAAGATTATTAAGAAGAATTGTAACCCAAAGTGGAATGAAACCTTAGTGTTCGAAAATTTGACTCTTGAAGAGTTGGAGGAACGCTGCCTGGAACTCACAATTTGGGACCATGATTTGCTTACTAGCAATGATTTCCTTGGTGGCACTAGACTCAGTTTGGGAACAGGCAAGTTAGATTTATTATACAAAACTTTTCTCCTAGCCTTTTTTTTTTCAGAATGTAGTGCAAGCATTATGACTTTTAATATGGATTAAAATGGAACATAACAATGGCTTTATTTCTGGTTAAGTAACTTATGTAACATCACAAAGCCTTTACTTCTAAGTCATACGTGCTAAGAATTTTTTCCTTTTAATATCAGATATCATTAAAAAAAAAAAAAAGAAATAACAATAGAAATTTTTAGAAGAAAATACTCAAAGGAAAACCACAAGATAAAAGAATGCTGTTTTTGGTTTTTTATCTACTCAGTGTATTTATATGTATTTAATTATTGTAGGCCGCAGCTATGGACGTGAGGTCAGTTGGATGGATTCCCGAGGAGAAGAAATTTCTGTCTGGCAGCACATGTTGGATCATCCCAATGCCTGGGCAGATGTAACTTTGATGCTTAGAGCAACCATGGGCAAAAGTTCATGAAACTGGAAAGTGTCATCCTTCCGAAGGTTATAGTACATAGAGAGATTGAACACTGTGATGCTGGATTGCCCATGCCAAGCTGTAAAATATTATTGAATTATTCAGAATTATTAACCCGTTTGAATAGTTAAGTTGTTCAATGTAAATGACAACATTTGTATTTTGATTAGAATATTATGTACTTTGAGCAGTGTGTAGTTTTCAATCCAAGCATCATGACCCCACTTCAAATTCTACTCTGGCATACAAGTTAACTTACAGTCTATACCTAATCCACTGCTTAACATTCCCTAATGACTGCAAAACTTTACCAAGTACTTCTATAGCAATATTATAGGACTATCACTTCATGTACAAAAAATATATTTACATTGTGGTACCTGTGTTTCACAAATATGTGCAATTAATCGCTATTTATTTTACTTGATTTTTCTTGGCTCAATTTTTGATGGTCAGGCACTATATTAGAGAGCATACATTCCAAAAGGATCCCTTTTTAATGCCAGTCTCTTTAAATGCCCTTAACAAAACAAAATATAGATTAAATTCATGTTTTCTTATGAAAACAGGCATTTTATTTAATTTTCAGAAGATGTTAATGTCTGATATTAGAAGCCTGTACATTACATCATCTATATATCAATTATAAACCCCACTAAGGTCAAGCCAAAGACCATAATAAATATGGCATCTGCTGTCTCCTTGCTAAGAACTTTAGCATTTAGGGCCTTAAGTAGGTTGAAAGAGGCCAGTAATAATAAAGTCAATTGTGTTGCACCATATGTCACAATTAAACATAATTTGAATTGCAGAAGTGGGATTGTAGCAAAAACAATAATCTCATAAATAGCCTGCCCAGGCAATCCTGGCATACGTACCTTGGTTATGCATCAATAGTCAATCCACTTAAATAAATGGCTGAAGCTCTTTGTAATCTTACTTAAAATTGGTATGGGTTGCAGAAAATTATCTTTGAATTTTGACATGTCATTGTTAATAAACCCTACTCAAATATAAAAACATAGGTTGTATTTTGACTTTTTAAAAGATTAATTCAGTTGAATTATGTTTGATGATGATATAAATACATCACTTGTAACTTTTACAATTGGAAAGAGTGTATTAGAATTGCATTAAATGCGTATTGAATCTTTATATGGCCTCTCTATGGCTTAGAGTATGTGTTAAATTTGATTTTTGTTATGAACTAACTCTCTCATGCATAATGCCTTTTGACTTTCCTGCGACTTAATGGCATTTAGAAAATAAATAATCAGTTTATAGTTTAAGTATAATTTCAAGTATACGCAGCTTTGAATTTGTATACTCATAAGTTATCCTCTTCTATTCACAAAGTAACAAAATTTGCAAATTTTCCTGTCAAAACATTTTTTTCACTGCCTGAAACACTGAATACAAATCTACTGCTTGTAGATCTGTCAGTCTCTTGACAAGGGAATGGATAACCTGTGCTGGTAGGGATGCATGAAACTAAGTGAAGTCCATCATTTAGGAGGAAAAGACATCAAATTGTAAAAATTAAACACGTATTTCATAAACATAATGATATTTTATGATAAACAGGGTTGTGGGACTCTTTACATTAGTAAAAACTTGCAGACGCATTTATGTATTTTTGTTTGTTTGTTTGTTTTTGTGTACCTTTAATTTTTCTAATACTCTTATTTTCTGTCAGAAAAGTGATATCATTGTACTCTTAAATTGCCTTGAATATGTTTATTGTTGAAATGTAATAAATTCTCACTTACATGCTTGTGTGTTTTTTTTTATTCCACAGATATGTATGTACATACTACTGAGATACGTGCATTGCATGCTCGAGAAGTATCCAAATTGAGTCACTCTCATAATGGAACTAGAGACTGGTGAATTTTACTTGCAACAGAGAACAAGGCAGCAAAGCTGTCAAATGTACAGACAAACAGCAGAAAAAAAATGATGCACAATAAAGGCTAATGCAAAGTAAACACCAAAATTTAATTATGCACAACAGGTTGATGTAAATAAAGTGTATAACTAGCATAATACTTCAGGCCCATGAGAATTCAAGTTCACACTTTGAAATGCTAGTATGACAAAAATGAAAATTTCCCAAAAAAGTGCTTAGAACTAAATTCAGGAAAAAAAGATAATCCAATGAAGCTGGCTTTCCAATTTAAGCTGTATTTCAATCCTAATTAAGTATCATTCTTGTAAGTTACAAAACAAATAGTAATAGTTTTCCATTCATAACGTTTCCCAGCAGGCATAGTCGAGTTGGATCAACGTTGAAAACAGGTTGATATGTTGAATTGCTGTTGATCTACCTAAATTCAACGTAAAATCAACTTTGATCCAGCCACATCAAAACACCGTCATAATGTGATGTTGACTCAACGTTGTATTTTGGTCATTGACACAACCTTGCAGACATGGATTGTAATTTAAAATATTACTTATTGAAAAAGTGATACTTTGTTTATCAATACTGTAATTAACTTTATCAAAATAATAAAAAAAGTGTTTTAAAGTAAAAGTGACAGTTTTTTTGTGTCTTTAGTGAACTAGTGAATTTTCTTAACTTGTTATTCAGAAATACATTCCAATAAACTGAATTCCTTGCAAGGTCAGCTAACACTAGGATGAATAAGTTGCTGTAAATGTGATGGAGTGAGTTTAATAAAGTTGACAGCTCTCGGTACCCTGTTATAATAGATAGACAGGTTGTGGTGACTGTGACTTTGTTATATATATATATATATATATATATAAACCTTGGAAATTTTAACTTAAAGACCATACATATACACCCTACATATATTTAGCCATCAAACATGTCCTACTGCTAAGCACATCCAGGCTAAAAGGGTGTACCATGCTTAGGAGCTAAATGCGTTGAAAAAATCAGACAAAGCAGGCACTTGGATGTTTTTACAGTGTACCTTATAATTGTGTACCTGTGTTTTGTACCAAAAATAAAAACAGTTCAGGTCCTTTTAATGTCTTTTCATGCAAGAATGTTGTCTAACAACTGGGGTTGATACAATGTTGTTCCCTGACGTTGAGTCAACCAATGTTTATCCAACGTATTATCAACGTTATGGTTCAACGTTGTTTCAACGTTAAAACAACATAATTTGCCTGCTGGGTTTGTGGTGGTAGTGCACAATTTTTTTTTTTTTTTTTTTTTGTCAATTTTGATGCAATATTACATATTGATTAACAACATAATCATCCAATTTTAATTATCTACTAGTACTGTATGTAACATGAATATTTGGAAAATTTGATGACCATTTGTGGGAGTCCCAAGTTCCACACTGAAAATGCCAATATGTGAAAAATGAAAATTTCATAAAAAACTACATTGCTTCCAGAAGAGCTACCATGGATATTAAAAAAATGTGACTAGTAAATGTGATAAGCAAAGGTCTTCATGCCCATGGAACTTCAGTGTCACACCTAGAAAATGCCAAACTGTAAACAAGAGAAATTTGCTAATTTAGACCAATCATTTGTCCAAATTCTTTTGCTGCGTAGTTACAATTTGACCTTGACTTCACATACTCCGCATAAATGCCTCAGTTTAGAAAATGTTATAAAGTGCTGTATTTTTTGAAAAAGAGATCGTAACGCAAGCTGGAAGAAGCTTGGGTGGCGATCAACCGAGTTTCATTGCAAGGTAAAATTAAGAGGTCGTAAGTACAAGATACATTTTGAATGATACGTCTAACACAAAACTATGTTCTTTTTCAATAGCTTGAAAAGTCTTTGGTTCCACCTCGCGTTGCACTGTACAGAAATTTCAAAATTTAAATGTACCACTACTTTCATGTACGCGGTCGGTGCACGTGCCTAAAGATGCACGTGAAGCCCGTTTTTTGCAAAAAAAAGCCGACCAAAATTTGCATTTTTCGCCTTACTGTAATATTAATGGTTCACCTTATGGGATTTAAAAAAAAATTTAATCTCTGTTTAATATGTGTTTAAGATCGCGACCTCAGTTTTTAGCGGTCCTTTNGGGTGTATCACCAGAAAATTCAATAAAACTTCTTTCTGGTATAAAAGTAAGTTTATTTTTACTATGCAAAACCCAAGTGCGATCTCATAGAGGTTTGCCATGCGTCCATTTCGGTCCATTTCTGCCCATTTCGGTCCATTTCGGTCCATTTCTATCCATTTCGGTCCATTTCTATGTTTTAAAGGACCCGTTTTTAGGGTTGTTTGTGAAAGTGAAACTGCATGAAGGAAGTGAATTTGAAGTGATTAGGCATTAGAAGTATTTTGACATTGTAAGTAAATTTATATTGCATTATAATTATATTTTTACGTGGATATATATCTTTTCTGTACACATATCAGTCCCCGATGTCAGTCGTCGCTGTCGTTACCGTGCACTTTCAGAGATACACTGAAAAGGTGCATATCTATTACTCCGACGGGACTTTTGCTCCGAAGGTTTTTTGTTCAGAGGGACTTTTGCTCTGAAGGTCTGCTATTCAGAAGCCATAGGAATTGAACATGCACTGCATATACTGCTATCAAGAATTTGCTCTATATACCCAATATACTAACACACACATTGCAAAATTTACAGTTTAAATCGCCTGTCTGCACATGTAAGTAATAACACTGTGTTTAAGTGCAGCTGTCCTTTTTTTCAGAACAGCAGACCTTCTGACTAAGAATCATATGGAATATCGGGCTCTCTAACCTTAGGGATATCGAACCCTTGGAACAGCAGTTGATTTTTGTACTTGGCTCCTTCAATCTTCAAAATGTCAGACCCTCGAAACAATAAACCCCTTGGAATATATGGCGTACCCCCACTGAAACACCATAAGTGAAAAATTATTTCACTTATTGTCCTCAAACTTTGAGAAGTGATGCATGTTCAAAAATACATATACAGATCGAGTTTAAAAATCAGAAATCAGCTTAGATCACACTATTTTTCCAACAAAAGATGCTTTATATATATATATATATATATGAAATATGTTTGTAATAGAAATGGAGTGCTTTATGTTCTAGAATTTTAATGAATGTTTGTTTCAAGTCAAGGTTCTGCATTTATGGTTTATATTCTTGAATGTGATTGTCAGGAATACTTTTACACGCATCAGGGTATTTCCAGTTTGCTTTCTTGAAATTAAAATGATGAAAGAGAGGATTTCAGTTTTAGTCAATTTAACTCACTATGAAATTATGAAAATATGTATTTCCATGTTTGTGTGTGTGTGTGTTTGTGTATATTGATGTACTTATTATCTTATACAATTTTTTTCTATGTGAAAAATTTAACTTGAATCTAGTATCTAGTTAATTTTTACTTCGTTACTTATTTCAGTTTACATTCATGATACAGATTATCACAGCAAACTTGCTATGAAGTTCGGAAAAGACTTTGGAACATTTTCCTTTAGGTGGGACCAGGTAGTGACCGCAGTATTGAAAAAGTATCCAAATCCTTATAGGTAAGACTTCTAGAGTACAGCTTAATCGATAAAGCTCTAGATAGCTAGACTGAGAGGCTTAGGTCTAACTAGAACTGCTGGCAGTGATTNTACAGACACATCTGTGTCTGTACATAACAAAAAGTAATAGTTTTCCATTCATAACGTTTCCCAGCAGGCATAGTCGAGTTGGATCAACGTTGAAAACAGGTTGATATGTTGAATTGCTGTTGATCTACCTAATTAAATTCAACGTAAAATCAACTTTGATCCAGCCACATCAAAACACCGTCATAATGTGATGTTGACTCAACGTTGTATTTTGGTCATTGACACAACCTTACAGACATGGATTGTAATTTAAAATATTACTTATTGAAAAAGTGATACTTTATCAATACTGTAATTAACTTTATCAAAATAATAAAAAAAGTGTTTTAAAGTAAAAGTGACAGTTGTTTTGTGTCTTTAGTGAACTAGTGAATTTTCTTAACTTGTTATTCAGAAATACATTCCAATAAACTGAATTCCTTGCAAGGTCAGCTAACACTAGGATGAATAAGTTGCTGTAAATGTGATGGAGTGAGTTTAATAAAGTTGACAGCTCTCGGTACCCTGTTATAATAGATAGACAGGTTGAGGTTACTGTGACTTTGTTGACTTTGTGACTTGGAAATTTTAACTTAAAGACCATACATATACACCCTACATATATTTAGCCATCAAACATGTCCTACTGCTAAGCACATCCAGGCTAAAAGGGTGTACCATGCTTAGGAGCTAAATGCGTTGAAAAAATCAGACAAAGCAGGCACTTGGATGTTTTTACAGTGTACCTTATAATTGCATGTGTACCTGTGTTTTGTACCAAAAATAAAAACAGTTCAGGTCCTTTTAATGTCTTTTCATGCAAGAATGTTGTCTAACAACTGGGGTTGATACAGTGTCAATGTTTATCCAACGTATTATCAACGTTATGGTTCAACAATTTGCCCGCTGGGTTTGTGGTGGTAGTGCACAAATTGTTTTTTTTTTTTTTTTTTTTTTTTTTTTTTTTTTTGTCAATTTTGATGCAATATTATCACCCAATTTTAATTATCTACTAGTACTGTATGTAACATGAATATTTGGAAAATTTGATGACCATTTGTGGGAGTCCCAAGTCCCACACTGAAAATGCCAATTATGTGAAAAATGAAAATTTCATAAAGAACTGCATTGCTTCCAGAAGAGCTACCATGGATATTAAAAAAATGTGACTAGTAAATGTGATAAGCAAAGGTCTTCATGCCCATGGAACTTCAGTGTCACACCTAGAAAATGCCAAACTGTAAACAAGAGAAATTTGCTAATTTAGACCAATCATTTGTCCAAATTCTTTTGCTGCGTAGTTACAATTTGACCTTAACTTCACATACTCCGCATAAATGCCTCAGTTTAGAAAATGTTATAAAGTGCTGTATTTTTTGAAAAAGAGATCGTAACGCAAGCTGGAAGAAGCTTGGGTGGCGATCAACCGAGTTTTATTGCAAGGTAAAATTAAGAGGTCGTAAGTACAAGATACATTATGAATGATACGTCTGACACAAAACTATGTTCTTTTTCAATAGCTTGAAAAGTCTTTGGTTCCACCTCGCGTTGCACTGTACAGAAATTTCAAATTTTAAATGTACCACTACTTTCATGTACGCGGTCGGTGCACGTGCCTAAAGATGCACGTGAAGCCCGTTTTTTGCAAAAAAAAGCCGACCAAAATTTGCATTTTTCGCCTTACTGTAATATTAATGGTTCGCCTTATGGGATTTAAAAAAAAATTTAATCTTTGTTTAATATGTGTTTAAGATCGCGACCTCAGTTTTTAGGGTTGTTTGTGAAAGTGAAACTGCATGAAATGATGAAGGAAGTGATTAGGCATTAGAAGTATTTTGACATTGTAAGTTAATTTATATTGCATAATAATTATATTTTCGCGTAGATATATATCTTTTCTGTACACATATCAGTCCCCGATGTCAGTCGTCGCTGTCGTTACCGTGCACTTTCAGAGATACACTGAAAAGGTGCATATCTATTACTCCGACGGGACTTTTGCTCCGAAGGTTTTTTGTTCAGAGGGACTTTTGCTCCGAAGGTCTGTTATTCAGAAGCCATAGGAATTGAACATGCAGTACATATACTGCTATCAAGAATTTGCTCTATATACCCAATATACTAACACACACATTGCGAAATTTACAGTTTAAATCGCCTGTCTGCACATGTAAGTAATAACACTGCGTTTAAGTGCAGCTGTCCTTTTTCAGAACAGCAGACCTTCTGACTAAGAATCATATGGAATATCGGGCTCTCTAACCTTAGGGATATCGAACCCTTGGAACAGCAGTTGATTTTTGTACTTCGCTCCTTCAATCTTCAAAATGTCAGACCCTCGAAACAATAAACCCCTTGGAATATATGGCGTACCCCCACTGAAACACTATAAGTGAAAAACTATTTCACCTATTGTCCTCAAACTTTGAGAAGTGATGCATGTTCAAAAATACATATACAGATCGAGTTTAAAAATCAGAAATCAGCTTAGGTCACACTATTTTTCCAACAAAAGATGCTTTATATATATATATATATATATATATATATATATATATATATATATATATATATATGAAATATGTTTGTAATAGAAATGGAGTGCTTTATGTTCTAGAATTTTAATGAATGTTTGTTTCAAGTCAAGGTTCTGCATTTATGGTTTATATTCTTGAATGTGATTGTCAGGAATACTTTTACACGCATCAGGGTATTTCCAGTTTGCTTTCTTGAAATTAAAATGATGAAAGAGAGGATTTCAGTTTTAGTCAATTTAACTCACTATGAAATTAGGAAAATATGTATTGCCATGTTTGTGTGTGTGTGTGTTTGTGTATATTAATGTACTTATTATCTTATACAATTTTTTTCTATGTGAAAAATTTAACTTGAATCTAGTATCTAGTTAATTTTTACTTCGTTACTTATTTCAGTTTACATTCATGATACAGATTATCACAGCAAACTTGCTATGAAGTTCGGAAAAGACTTTGGAACATTTTCCTTTAGGTGGGACCAGGTAGTGACCGCAGTATTGAAAAAGTATCCAAATCCTTATAGGTAAGACTTCTAGAGTACAGCTTAATCGATAAAGCTCTAGATAGCTAGACTGAGAGGCTTAGGTCTAACTAGAACTGCTGGCAGTGATTTTTTTTTAAGTTTAGACACAGTATGTGTGACATTATTGTTTGTAGGAATATTGTATTAGAAAAGAAGTCATAAAATTATGTTTGTCACATAATTATTTCTGTAGAACTTTTTTTAGAACCTTTTTTTTAGAAAAGAAGTCATAAAATTATGTTTGTCACATAATTATTTCTGTAGAACTTTTTAATTATTTTTTTAGCCCACACATTCTTTCTGAAGATGTAATTCACAGGGAAATCAAGAATGGTAAACTCTATTCCAAGAAGCTTATAAAAAAGGTCCAACTAAAATCTATCCCTTCATTCCTGCGTGGGGTTGTGCACTGGGCTACTCGAGGCAAGGACACCTGTTTTGTGCTGGAGGAATCGGAGGTGGATCTTGAAACAAGAAAATGCACCACTTACACAAGAAATGTAGACATGCTTACTTATGCAGTAAGTCAGTTGATCAAAGTATCTTAAGGTTTACTCAAGTTATGATTAACGTCATATCGGCATTGTGTATTTTGAAAATGTTATAAAAAAGGCTCATACAGAACAACTTATTTGCTTGTAAGTGTGTTGAGTACTCCATAAGTTATTGTCGTAGACCATTCAGTACTAAACTTAAAGTGATTATTTTTATTTATTTATTTATTTATTTATTTATTTATTTATTTTTATTTTATTTTATTTATTTATTTATTTTTTGTAGGATGTTGTTGAAAAAGTTGTATACAAGGAAGACGAAGAAGTGTCACAGAAGACCCAAATAGACCGCAGTCACTGGGTATCAGCAAGGTTTTCTAAACTAGGATCTGAAAGTTATTTATTTGGCAGGTGCAAATCCCGTATACCCGAGACTAACAGGGGCATAGATTATGTTATAAGAACTCTTTTTGCTCCAGAAACACTCCATGAATTAGAAAAGAAAGAACACAAACTAAAAATGAACTTAGAAAGAGTGAAAGAAGTGAAAGAGAAAGTAAAACCAAGAATGGAGAAATTGATTCCCACTTGTAAAGCACAGGAAGATTATTAAAATGGGCTTCATCTGTTCCCCTCTAGATTTTTCTTTGAGTGATCACACTTGTTACGTTTTGTAATTTATTAGTAACCCATTACTATTTTTCAGCACATGTTCCTTTGTAAAAAAACACAGATTCACTTTAGAAATTTTAAAGAGACAATTTATAGATAAATTGCAACTGGTTTCATTATGAACATTTTATGGTACGTATGGATTCACCTCAGAATGATTTTTTATATTTTGTTGGAGGACTGTCTCAGGGTATTCAGTGATACATACAAATTGGGGTTAATTATTTCAAAGATGTCAAATATAACTAGATTGCTTGTAACAATAAATTTGGTGGATTCTGTCACAGAACAGTATTTAAATATTTATCACAATTTGTCTTATCACAAAGTTTGCTTTTTGCAAGAAGTGAAAAATTGTAGTAACAATAAAAGCATTAAACCTTTTTGCAGCTTTGAGTCCTCAAACTTCAGTTGCCATTTCTTAATTGTAAAGGAACTATTTACCAGGTACTTAGTACATAACATTAAAATAAATTAATCTACAAACCTAGAACAAGTTACATAAATGAGACTAATGTTCAGTAAACTGAGAAATAATTTTTTTTGTTGGAAAATACTTGTAAAACACAATTTAAGCAGCAGTTTGTTTTTCAAAGAACTTTCTAGAGACCAAGTTAACATGTAAAAGGAGGAGTTAATTCCAAAAAATCCAAGAAAAAAACAATAACATGACTGAGTAATATCAAACTTGAGTTTATTCATGCATGCAGGACGAGTTTAACATTCTGTAACAAATCAGCATCTATTGATTGCATTAGATCATCAATAATTGACTGTTCATTTAACAAACTGATACTCCATCACTATTAATTATAATTAAGAGTAATAACAAAAGCTTGACAATAAGTTTTGCAACAGTTCAGCCTTAACAATCAAATTTTTCGTAGTATTTTCTCTCAGAAACGGATCAGTTATGCCTATTATCCATCTCTTGGTGATTGGACATATCACCAGCCATTTTACATACAGCAGATTGAGATTGGTCTGGAGAAGTCTGTGAACCGACAGAGAAAGACCAGTTACTGTCCTTACTACTATGAATCGAGTCAAAACTCTTGTTGGTTTTTTGTCGTTGACAGCATGAAAGGTACTGCTGTTTAATAAAGAAAGCCAAGGTCACCAACATGAGCATGGACAACACAACTAACCAAACCAAAAGTGATGAAGTTTTTCTTTTTAGAGCAGTCAGTGCATTCAACATGTAGGACTTTAGTTGGGAGGCATCAGTCGGTTCATCTGGAATTTAAAACATATTATTAAGCTACCAGTAATAATGGCTCCTGCAAGGGTTTTGCAATGCAAGAGTTTGCATTGGAATCACCAGAGGCAGGCATTTCACTTCTCAGTAACTTAGCATAAGATAGTTCTTTTCACTGAATTTCGATAAAAAAATTTTAAAACACTGCTACTTTTGCCAAATGTATCATGTTTTTTTGGGAACATTGCTTTAAATAATTTGGCAGTTTACCAATTCAACTTACCTTGTTTCAGTGGGAATGCATGCTGACAAGAAGCATAATTTTGAGAACAGAGGACATCTTCTGTAAAAAAAATATGGTAAACTAACAGGTAGCCAATACCATAAAAGTTTGCAAGAGCTTTCAATGAAAGATAATGTCAGGAACAGACGACAATTAACCATAACAGGCCCGTAGCCAGCAATTTCAAAGGGGGGGGGTTCTATTTCTGAAAAAGTGGACCTTTTACCATATAATCCCCATGTACCTAGGTCAAATTTTACCCAAAGTGGACCTTTTTCCAGCAAAAAGGGGGGGTTCTTTTGAACCCCCCAAACCCCCCCTGGTTACGGGCCTGCATAAGGTGGAAGGCAGTCAATTTTTAAGTAATCAAGGATAGGAAACTATGACATGTAACAACCTATACCTTGCTGATAACAGAGTTCAATAGTATACTTCAATGTATTATTCTAAAGCTGATCAAGAAGCCATCACCAAAGGCCACTGTACTTATTCAATGAACTTACCTATACAGTCATGGCCGTTGTCTGATAAAGAGTATCCAGCTGGACATTTACACTCATATGATCCGACGGTGTCTTCACAAGAGTGTGAGCAACCAGCATTTTCATGTGAGCACTCATTTTTGTCTGAAAAAGTTATTCTAAGGATGCCCAAAAATGTGCAAATGTTTTTATCAACAGGTAACTTCTGTTGAAGGTTTTGTGCCATGCTGATGAACCTGAATTAATTGTTTTTAAATTTTGTTCTTGCAGTCTGACAGTAAAAAGGTTAATTGAAAATCCCAAGTTGATGGCAAACAAAATCAATGATCTCAAAGCTGTCCAAGAATCTTGAGCAATTTGAAGCATTTTTATCTGACAAACCGGTAAGCCCTTTGTAAAACAGTCCTTTCTCTGTTTACGTAACCCCTCTTAGCTTTTCAATAAAAAGCACCATTGTCCCAACCAAAGATCACTTCATGGCAAAAAACCCTTACTGGATATTAATAGTTTTATGAGTGAAATAATTTTTTTTTTTACAATTTCCTATGTATTCATTGTACATGCGCATAATAAGCAGAATTGTATAATGACTGTCATGTTTAGTACTTAATTGCACATTAACTACTTGGGCTAATACAAAGATATTGTTAACTCACTGATGCATTCTGTCCCATTGACTGGTGTAGTTGAGGAGCCATCTTCACTGTTGCAGACACAGATTGGATCAAGTCTAACATGGGAAATGCAGTGAAGCCTATCAGGACGCAGTACTAAACAAAAGGGCAAGAAAAGCAGAATGCATTTATTAAATGAGACACCAGCCACACTTTCAGTCAATAAAAAACTATAGTTCAACACAATTGGAACTAGTGAATTATGATGTATGAATTTGGTCGCCAGCAAGACAAAAAAAGTTTCTGAAAATGATTAGTTCAAGCAGGAAGTGAAAAATAACGAACACCCTACGCTCTTTCACCCAATCAGCCAGTAAAAAAATTCTATTATTAACCTTTTTCAAGGCATCTTCGTGCATAGTAATCCACGCTGTTATCTTCTTTGATGGATGATGTTCCAACCATTTCCAGTGTAGATGAAGAAAGGTGACACTGTTCAGTGGTGCCCTCTGGGCCGCGAGACCGGACATACTCTATGGATCTACAGGCAATTTCTGTAGTTTCCTCACAGAGTCTTTGACAAACAGCAACATCAGAGATACCAGTGTAAACCTTATCATTGTGAAGCTCAATGTAGAGGTTGGGTGTCTTTTCATAGTGACACTGGTCAGCACCTGACATAAATTTAAATAGGAATCAAATTAAACAGCATAAATGCTTCTCTCCTTATGTTAATTGAGTACTAGTAGATATATAAGTGAACAATATTGAAAATTACAACCATTAACTATGGAAGATGTAATTTTGATGCATTTACAGCATAAAATCTCTAAGATAATCAAGATCTGCTTCAACATCAAGCCCACAATTTGTCATTTAACACTAGTGTCCCAGATCAAGCATACTTGCATCTTGGATAATCATTCTAATAAGCTTTAAAATTTTATCCAGTATTAACTTAAGAAAAAAATCAATTGTCAAATATAGGTTAAATTTATACTTTAGCCAGAGTTCAATTACACTTACTAATACAGTCAGTTTTTACAGGCACCAGCTGGTAACCTGGCCTGCAGTAGCAATAGTAACCATGTGCTGTATTGATACACATGTGTGAACAGCCACCATTGTTGGTCTGACACAAATCTGACAGAAAATGATAAAAACAGAAAAAAAGAATAATTTTACAAAGGCAGTAAAATAATTATTTATAATTCCATTTTATCAGTCTCTCAGTCAAGAATAACTTTGTTTTGGTCACACTCAAATACTTGCAACAGTATTAATTGTTACATGCAGAGTTATTTGAATTCAACTTAAAAGTAAAAAATCCTACCTTCTGGCACTGAAAAACTACCCCCTATAGCACCCTTCTCTCCTTTGGGGCCTGGTGGACCTGGCTCTCCTGTTAAACCTTCGTGACCATGATACCCTCTAGGACCTTTGACCCCAGTGTAGCCAGGGATACCTCTCAAACCAGTCTGACCAGTGGGTCCTTCAGCACCTGAAAAGTTAGAAGTTTGGAGGGGGTGGGGGGAGAGAATCTTTATTATAATGGTACATGAAAGGATATATAGAAAAAATCACATATGAGTACAAATAAAGGCTTATGTCAAATTGTAAGAGTATGTGACACAAGAGTATCCAAATAATTCGAAGGATTACAAAATGAGTCAAAGAGAGCAATTATCAAATCACATAATGTCCCCATGCTCAATTCAGAAATTGTGAAAAAAAATTGTCAAAATCCGAACCTTTTTGTCCTTTTTTACCAGGAAACCCGGCACCTCCTCCTTTTGTGTTTCCTGGGGGACCCGTTGGCCCTGCAGGACCAGTGTCACCAGTATCTCCTTTCAATCCTTGATCTCCTTTTAATCCTTTAGGGCCTAAGGGTCCATTCACACCGTTTAATCCAGATGGACCAGCAGCCCCTGTTGGTCCGCTAGCCCCCTTGGGCCCAGTTTCACCTTGTTCCCCTTTCTCGCCCTTAGATCCGGCCATTCCTGGTAGCCCGTCCATCCCATCAATTCCATTTAAGCCAGGTGGGCCTGGTTCACCAGTGGGACCTTGGGGACCTGCAGATTAAAAAATAGTTTTTCACATAAAATTGCAAGTGTGAGCTCAGTAATTGGCACATGCAGAGGTGGGGAGACCATCAGCACATTAGGGTCCACCGTATTTGATCCACAGATCTGTAGATCCAAAGATTAATTATCTGTTGTGAATGCCCTCTAAATTACTTATGTCTATTGTTCCTCTTAAAGCATCTGAACCATAGGCCACAGACAAGGCTGAAACAAAGAGTAGAGATGAATTGGAACCAATTGCAGAGAGTTGACCACAACAGGGATGGATAGAGGGACAGTTGCTATTACTGATCACTCTGCTCACAGTTTCTACTTTGGTTAAAAAAATACAAGTAAAAAAAACTCACCAGCCTTTGCTTTTCCCGTGGAGGATGTAGTCTGTACTATCAAGGTGGTTGTGCTGGTTGGAGCTGGTTTGGTAGGAAGGGGTGTGGTCTTCTCTGTGGTGGTTGTAGGGGTGGTGGTGGTCGTCGAGGTGATGGTCGTGCTGGTGGTGGTCGAGGAAGTGGTGGTGGTCGAGCTGGTTGTTGTCGAGGTGGTGGTGGGGGTCGTGCTGCTGCTGGTGGTGGTGGTGGTTGCGGTGGTGGTAGGGATCTGAGTGGACAATTGCTGTGTACTTGCTCCTATACCACTGCAGACTACGCCACCGCTGATTGGCCCTGGGATTGATAAGATAAGTAAAAAGGCCATTTCATTTACAAAAGACTGGGCCACACATGTTAGAATGTTTCAAAAATAAAAGCATATATATCCTCTTGCACACTGTATTGACTGCATTCAGGCAAGATATGCTGTTTTTATTAACACATTAGGATTCCAAACAGGAACAGCGGCTAAAGTCTAATGTGATGAAGTAGTCATTGTATATGGAATATGTATCATCTTAGTTTAAGCTGTCAATACATACCATCATCAATCAGGGCTGCAACAGAATATTTGTAGGGAGTTTCTTCATTTAATGTAACAGTGGAATAAGATTGACCAGGTGATTCTTTTCTGAATAATTCATATCCAGTTTCCAAAGCGAAGGTTATCACTGACACATCTGGCTCATAATCCCATCCTATATAGTACTTGTTTGTGCTAGGCAGATAGCAAGGGGTGGTCAGATTCACCTGGAAATAGACACTCCTAGCTGTAATTGAATAGTAAAAAATAATGAAAAGTCCCTTTTTCCAAATCTCTGTCGCTCTCTTGCTTCATCTAAGACTGCGTTCCCACAGATTTTAAATCGATCTATCCCCGTGGAGAGTAATCAACTTCTGTGAACCCCCAGGGAGTTAGGTTGATCCAGATGGATCGATCTAAATCTCTGGGAATGCAGTCTAAGAGATCAGGTATTCATCAAATTACCCCTACAATTTTAGAAATTTTGGATGAGAATAGTTTTCTGGAAGAGGCTGTTCATGCAATTTTGGTGCCTTCAATCTACCCCTTTATGTAAAAACGGCTTGCAATAAATGACTTTTAACCCTTCACAAAGCTTTTATTGTAAGGTGATAAGCCTAAAAAACCTTATAAGAAAAAAAGCTAAATTCCTTTCTGAGGCCTGTACATCCACACAAGTACATAAATTGGAAGCAAAAATACCCTGTACCATTATGAGCCTGCCCCCAAGACAAGAAAACAAAATACAAAAAAAATTCTTTTCACTTTTAACTGTCGAATATTATTCCGATTTAAAAAAATAACTCCGTCCTCTGCTTGTATGTACAATTAAAAAACATTCTTTTTTTTCCAATTTACTCATTCATTTTCACCACTTTTTGTACAAAAATGCTGCTATTGTTAAATTGATCTTACCCATTGCAACCCAGTACCAGTAAAATGTCCAGGAACACAGTATTCCATTGAAAATGTCATAGCATCAAGTTTTCTCCAAATCTGAAATGTGATTCCCAGTGCAAAATTGCCCTGGACATTGTATTTCTCATGCTTAGGACTGACAAAGGCTGCAAACCCATACAAGTAGGTGTCTTGCAGGTAGTGTTGTCCATCTACAAACAGGAAGTCACTACCTATGTAGCTGTCATAAAATGGCTGAAGTGTCACAGGTCTGGAGAGATAAGGGACACCACCTGCAAAGAACATTTAGCTTTGGTCAGAAAAACTCCAATTTAAGCATGTTGCTGTGTTACGTTTACATTCCATTCACTTGAAGTTTTGTATAGTGCAATACTACACATGTGGCTTAAGCCTTTCAAACTTGTCAATATTTCCAAGTATTTCAAATATTAATTATTAAAATAAGATGGGTGTTACCTGAGAAGTTTACATTGTATATCCACACTATACAGTAAAGAACAAAACAGTTACAAAGACCCTAAAAATAAAGAGCATATACATAAGTAAAATGAATCAAGATGCCAAATAAAACGTTTAATCAATTTAAAGAAAATACTTGTCAAAATGTGTTTTGAGGGAGTCATTCCATGAAAATGTATTGGTGTAAATATCGACAGGAATTATCTAAAGTAATGGTTTAATATCAATGCGACAGATTATAACCGCACATTTACATGGCCCCACTAATTATACTGGATACTGAGTTACAATGTATCATACATAATGTAAAACTTTGTAATCAAATTAAAATACAGCTACTACTATTAAAAGAATATCAAAACCTACATCGAGAGCGTGTTTTCTAAGAGAAATAAAAATTTACTTACAGGGAATATATACGTTTATATACATTGGCTTACTTACTTTCCACTCCATCTCTTACGAGAAAAGATATTTTCACTAAGGTTGTATTTTGAAGAAACTTTCTAAATATTGCCACCAATTCACCAGAATATCCCCTTGTCGGTATAAATATATTTTTCGTGTATAATCCGGTATACTGCAAAACGGTAAAGTAACCACCTAGTCAAGCACAACCCTCTCCCGGACGCCCTTTCGCTTTGCGTGTCGCAAGTTCATCCAAACTGACCGCCGCGGACTAGTTGTCACTTGACAAATAGACTGTGAAACAACCATCGCCATCTATTGGACAACTAGGAAGTTCACTGTTATCAATACATTTTAATCAATGTCAACGTGAAATAAAAACAGCGACTTTTCATAGAATTAAGACCGACTGAAAAAATGAGTAAAATTTCGCCACATTTTAATTAGCTTCTCCATGATTTACTAACGATCGCTTTTTAACCTACAATCTTTTAAACAAGGTTTTGTAAAAATTGACATATTTGAATATGTACTTTCCAGGTTTCCTTTACAATGGTTACGATTTAATATATGCAACACAGTAAAAAGCATTAATACAAGATAACGCACTTTGAATCTTTATGGGAAAATAGACCAGCTAAGTTTAAAAGTTATTCCGCAAAATACGTTTATGCCAAAGTGGGAAACGTAAACTTTACGTCAGAAAAATAGATAAATCAATAATAATCAACAACCCTTTTTATGGAGTGTAATAATCCTCTACTTTAGATTATACATAATGCTTTTCATCACATGAAATGACCCACAGAGATCTCATATGACGCAATATTTTTATACACTTTTTCCACATATCTGCTTTTAATAAACGCGTATTTTTCCTGATGATTGAAGGGAAATTTATGCTTTGTCATTATTCTCAAACTGCGTTACATGTTTAATGAAAAATAAGTCTACTTCCCCCACATGTTATGCATATATTTATTCCAACAAAATTGCCGACCCATCCTAAGATAGCGTATCTTTTCACGTGTAGCTTATAAAAATACCATTTACTTCTCAGTTAAGCTATTTTCATTGAGTCGAATTTTTTCTACATTTTCGATTTAAACATTTACTCAGACGAGCGATAAACAATACCGAACCTAAAATGGTGAGCGCAATAAGCCATAATGTCAATCCTTCAGACTGACTGCTAGATCCTTCTTCATTGTGCAACTCCAAGGCGTTGCCGTGTTCCAGGCCTCCAAGCTCTGAGGTATGTTTCAACGCACCCGGGATATCGTCAAAAATAGGCCGCACACAGGAGTAACTGCCGGGGGTGTTGATGCATTGTTTCTCAAAGCACAGAAAAGGAGAGAGGGTACACTCGTTTATATCTGAAATTTAAATGGCATTAATAATCAATGACAATAAATAAACAAATGAATATATGAATGAAAACGAAATTTACTTTGACAATAAAATTCACCTTATTAGATTTATAAATCAAAGGTTTGGTAAGAATTGCTTAATAGACTAGTAAACTGAGCGAAAAAAATGGCCTAACCCAGGACTAATTGCAAAAAAATTGTAATGATGTTTTTTAGAAAGCTAAATATCCAAATTTTAACATATTAAAAATCTAGAAAAATCTAAGTAGTGGAAAATAGTTTTTAGGGCAGTTTTCCAAGATGGCCGCCAATATATTAAGTCTCTATAGGTAAAAGGGGTCTTTATTTTTAAGGAGTATTTTTGCTGGAATAAATGGGGTTAAGACTTTGAAATATATCCAGACTTAGAGACAAAGACCTTCTTGTTAAAAAGAAAAGCTTATTTGATAAGAATTATTCACCAAAGGTCATTGGCTTAGGGTCAAAGGTCAGGCAAAGGTCATTTGTATAGATTTTAACCTGAAATATTGCCTAAAAGTTTGCAATAAATGTTTTTAAAGATTGGTTATTGAAACTTTTGGTGTTTATTACAATTATTACATCACTCACAACAAATCTATGAAGTTTGGCTGCAAAATATGTATTTTTAGGGGAAATATGAGACAAATTGTGAAAAAATCAGATGAATAAAAATTATGTATAAATGTATAGGGTAGGTATTAAATGTTGACTTCTCTTCATTCTGGGGACAAATATTTCTATGTAAATGTCATATAATATATAGAATACATTTGTTTTTTACATTTTCTTGTTACAACCATCTATGTTCAGGCTCAATTCCTTTCTTTCAATATGGCCGCCAGTAGGGGTATTCATAAGGTTTTATAAGACTAATTTTTTAAACATTTTTCTTTTCAGTAGGGACTTACTGCAAAAAAATTGTAATTAGGTATTTTAGAAAGCTAAATATCCTAATTAAAACACAATAAAAATCTTGAAAAATCCAAGTAGTGGAAAAGGGTTTTTAAGGGAGCTTTTCCAAGATGGCCACCATTATATTGCGTCACTGTAAGTAAATGGTGTCTTTTAATTTAGGTGGTATTTTTCTAAGATAAATGGGGGTTAATCCTTGAAATATACACAAAGTTGTAGACAAAGAATAATTTGTTGAAAAGATAAGCTTATTTAATAGGAATTATTCACCAAAGGTCACTGGCTTGGGGTCAAAGGTCAGGCAAAGGTCATTTGTACAGATTTTTAACATGAAATTTTGCCTAAAAGTTTGTAATAAATGTTTTTAAAGATAGGTTATTGAAACTTTTGGTGTTTATTACAATTATTACATCACTCACAACAAATCTATGAAGTTTGGCTGCAAAATATGTATTTTTAGGAGAAATATGAGACAAGTTGTGAAAAATCAGATGAATAAAAATTATGTGTAAATGTATAGGGTAGGTATTAAATGTTGACCTTCTTCATTCTGGGGACAAATATTTCTATGTAAATGTCATATAATATATAGAAAACACTTGGTTTTTTTACATTTTCTTCTTACACCCATCTATGTTCCAGTTCAATGCATTTTTCAATATGGCTGCCAGTAAGTGCATTCATAAGGTTTTATAAGACATAATTTTTTGAACTTTTTTTTCAGTAGGGACTTATTTTTAAAAAAATGTAATGAGGTATTTCAGAAAGCTTAATATCCAAATTTAAACATAATAAAAATCAAGAAAAATCTAAGTAGTGGAAAAAGGTTTTTAAGGCAGCTTTTCCAAGATGGCCGCCATTATATTGCATCACTGTAAGTAAATGGTGTTGTTTAATTTAGATAGTATTGTGCTAGAAATAAATGGAAGTAAAACCTCGAAATATAGTTAAAGAAAAGGACCTATTCACTGAAAAAAAAGCTTATTTAATAGGAATTATTCACTAAAGGTCACTAGCTTGAGTCAATGTTCAGGCAAAGACCATTTCTACAGATTTTCCCTAAAGTGTTGCCTAAAATTGCAAATTATGTTTTTGAAGATAGGCAATTGAATTTGTTTGGGTGTTAAATCTAATCATTATTTCATTCACAACAACTGTGTGAGGTTTGGCTTCAAATATGGCTCTTTAGGAGAAATATGAGTCTAAGTGTGAAAAATCAGACAAATAAGGATTCCGACAGGATAGGACTTCTTTTCATTCTGGGAACAAATATTTCTTTGCTAATATCATAAATATATGATATATGAAAAACACTTGTTTTTTTTTTTTTTTTTTTTTTTTGTTTGTTTGTTTGTTTGTTTTTTTTTTGTTTGTTTGTTTGTTTGTTTTTTGTATTATTTATTATAGCCATCTATGGACCTGTTCAAATTATTTTCCAATATGGCTGTCAGCAAGATAACTCAGATAAGGCTGTCTTCAGTAAATATTCCACTCAAGAATGTGTCTTTACCCCCTTTTCTTAATTATATTGATGAATAAGTAATGCAGGTAAAAAGTTGTACAGTTAACAGTGGCACCAAACACAATATAAGTCTTTTTTTCTAAGAGTGCATTCCCATAGATTTTTAGATCAATCTATCCCCGTGGGGAGTCTCACTAGATTGTTGTCAGCCTGACCGGCTTAAATGTCTGTCCTGCCTACTAAAGCTGTTAGGGGGTAATTAACTTTTGTGCGCGCTCGGCTCTCGGAACTTGACCTCAATTTAGCGTGAACCCCTAGGGAGTTAGGTCAATCCGGATAGATTGATCTAAATCTATAGGAACCCAGTCTAAGACAGACTGAAATGTTGCATCAATTGGACAAGCAATCTTATAATCAGCCAGGCCAAATGTACTGCTGGCCTGTCCAAATAGGTTTGGGTGTCCAACTGCATAAACTTTTTGGAAACAGATTCCTAATTGCATGGATTCTGTTGCTCGTACTCCTAATAGTAAGATATGAGAGGGGCTCCAGGGCCACACAAGGGACAGAATCCTGGAGTATTTGTTGCCACATTCACCAACATGGCAAACCCCAATATCTAGGAATTGGATCCTATCAGAAACCATTTTTTTTTTTTTTTTGGAAACTGTCCTTACCTGCTTTCCAGCCACAGCCCAAACTACTATGGAATGGTTACATGGGCAAATGGTGACTAGAGGGAATCACCCAGTAAAAGCATCTGTTATGTCTCTTTCTCTGATAGATATAGATCTACAGAAAGAACTGTCATGCATCTACCCCACATTGAATTTAATTTATTCACGCGTTCAACAGTCCAGAGCAACCCCCAATAATTACCTTTAATCAACCGCTGTGGTGGAAGGACCAGACTACTGTTGAAAGTGAACAAGAATCCAATATACTACCATCTCCAGTTGCAAGGCTTGTAGGCTTCCACACAGAGATGAGCTACATTTAGTGCATATGTCAACTCATGACAGGGTCAGGACTTTGAGAACTTCTTGAAACTATATTTGCTGTCAATACAGTAAGCCACATGATTCCCAGGGAATGCTCTGGCTAGGGCAATGAGGGCCCAGCTATTACTTGATCTATCCCTCATTGCACTTCTCATCTTCAAGCTTTTGCTGGATAATGTGCCAGCCACTGTTGCTCAAAACAGGAAGCACAGCACAGTGAAACACAGTGCACAGATGACATTGAAGGTACATGCATGCATTTTCTGGATGAATCCAATTGATGGAGACATCCAGATCTCCGTTCTTTGGACCATGGTAACATCAGATGTGGGAGAGAGTGAATTTTTGACAAAGATAGACCAGCAACTGGCTGTCGAGAAAACCACTTCGAAAAGTCAAAGAACTGCAAGGTTCAGGGTACAATGTATGGACATTTCCTCTTTGCTAGAACAGGCAATATAGTCAGATGGGCTTGAAAGTGAAGGTGAGGTCCAGTACATTTTAGATGGTGTGGCACTTCTCCATCACACACCTTGTACTGTTGGAATGTGTTGCACACCAGGGAGATATAGGAGAGCTATAGTGTAGCATTATAAAGGGATCATCATCTTGGATGTCCCCTCTACTAAGCTATGGTTCTGCACACCTAGTTAGATCCAATTAACAGTATGAGCACAGCTATCGTCTTCACAGATGAGACGAAGCTGCAGAGTGGAAAAGAAAAAATTCTTACCAACAAAGAAAACAAACAGGTTCATTTATTTCCTTGGTGAGAAGTTGGAAGGTGTTGGAGTTAAAGTATTCCAAGTTCCAGGTGATGCAGACCTCCATATTTCATTTAAATAAAAAAAAAGTTTATCTGAAACGCACATCATATGATCACAAATCTTCTGAGCCTTGTCCCAAAGCCATCATTGCTCACAATGTAATTTTCTTGCTTTTGAAGTGAAATCTAGGTCATCCCTGGTGAAGACAGTTAGGTACTAATTGACTGGTCAGTTATTTTTAACTAAGATTCAAATGGAATAAGACATTGAACTAAGTGTAGGGACAGGATGGCGATACATTTTAAGTAGGAAATAATGTTGTTTACCCAAGGCAAGTTTATTTTGGTGCATGAATTGGATAAAGAGCTCCTTTAAAATCATTTTATTTAAGTCTTTATGTCCTGGCCAATCTAGTACTACAACAGAAAGTGGTAAAAGACCATAAATGTACTTTTGAGCTTATTTTTTATTCAATTTTTTACTTCAAATTTGGTAATTTGTAGCCACCATTTTAGTTTTGGCGGCCATTTTGTATTTTGTTGAGGCTATCTGCATTTGATTTATTTGGAGAGAAGTGGCACAACATCCCTTTATGGATTTTGTACCATTTTAACAAGCTTTTGTTGAAACCACCTGGAGCAAATTTGCACCTTCTAACTGTAGATCTCTGTGCTGGCGGCCATTTTTGATTTTCCCCCAAAAAAACCTTTTCCACTACTTGGATTTTTCTAGATTTTTAATATGATCATATGGACCACTCAAAGACTCAAAAAAACCATACTACAATTTTTTTGCAATTAGTCCCGGGTTAAACCATTTTTTTCTTAGACTATAAATTATATGTCCACTTTCGACATTCAGCTGATACACTGTACATGTATCCAGAGGCAGAAATAACACAGCAAAACTTATGAAACGTATGAATTATGTTAGAAACTTAAAAGAAACTGACCAGTACATCGGTGGTTGTCCAGAGCTAACTGATACCCCAGTCCACAACTGCACACGTATCCTCCCACAGTATCTGTACACGTCCCCTGGCAGCCGCCGTTCCCAAAGGCACATTCGTTCATGTCTGAAAAAGGAAATGCAGGCATGCCATACTCTTCCATACTCTTAGGAAACTAGCTAATCAACTGGTTTATGTTTTTTACTGTCATTCTTGAGGTAATGTAGGCAAATACTTTTATATCAGTTTTCTCGCAATATGGGTGCACACAATCTTTGAATTTCATGCCGAATATTTGTTTTAACTCTTAGTGTTAGGTCATATTTAGATTTATTCTTGCCAGGAATACTTACTGACACAGTTGGATCCGTTTAACATAGTTATCGCACCGGATTCTTCTTCACACACACATATTGGTTGCCCATGCAAAGTGCCCAAACAACGGACATCTGCAGTTTCCAAAACTGGAAGAAGAGGAGGAGAAGGAGGAGGAAGAAGCAAAGACAGACTAAAAACGAGTCAGTTTAAAAAAATGTATAGCAAAAAAGCCTGTTAAAGAATAATGCTTTACACCCAAACTCAATATAGAGGTGCATTTCACCTGCTGAAGCGTCCAAAAATAAAATTGAATGAATTTAAAGTTGTGGACAATTTTTTATAACATATATGTGTACAGAACAAAAATCAACGACTGTCTCAATTTAAATTCAAATTTTAATTTTTACCGTGTCTTTTCATTACGCAAAGAGCCTAAATGGTAGCGTATGTTCCAGAAACGTATGGTTAACTTTTATTTTTCTGTCGGTAGAGTTTATTTTCTCCGTTCTTTTTTTTAATATTCAGTGACAGCAAACTAAAGTCGCTCAAATACAATTAACTTCTCCATACAGAAGGTTTTTACGATTTTTTATAACGCTACACTTGTAAGAGATATATCAAAGACCAAAACCAGTGATGGTTGAATTTTCAAAGTCATGTGGGACCCTAAAATAATCAAACATAGTTTGCAATCTGTGCACTAAATACTTTTAAGAGCATGCCTGTGACAACAATTGCACCTCTATATTGGGTTTGGGTGTTTAACGCTTATTTTCGTGGTGGTTTTTTATCAACTGTCAATCGTTTTAATATTCTACAGCATTAACCTTTATTATTATAATTATTTATTATTTTTTTATTTTATACTTTATTATAATATATATTAACATTAACATTAACTACTAACCTTCCTCCTTGCAGGTGCGCTCATACAGATCGGTTCCTTGGTTATGCTGTGCAGTGTGCCCTGGTAGCATGCCCGCCGTATAGGGAGTTAGACCACAGTTACCGAACTTGTCGTACACAATGCTCCTACAGAAGAAGCTATCCTCTCTTTCACAGAGAGCTTGGCACTGTTCCACCGTCTGTACAGGTTGATATGTTACGGTTGGTCGAACTGTCATGTTGGGGAACTTTTTAAAGGAGCAGCTAACAAAACCTGTTAAAATAATAATAATAATAATAACGATAATGGGCCATACGGTTTATATGTAAGCTACTTGAAAGGATTTGAAATTGGATATCAGTTGTACGTGTACCTAACAAACTTATTTAGTTTAGAGGGAGTTCACGGCATTTTTGGCGTAAAATATTAGAAATAAAGAACAGTTCCTGGCACCATCGACATTGTTTAGCGTCCACCAAATATCTGTTAACAGAGTTTCAACACACCATTTTCACTTGACATAAAACAAAGCCATTGTTACAGAAGCTTTATTTAATTCTCCTGCATGGTTTGAATAGGAATCACTCATGGTAACCCAAAACAAGACTGTCGGCACTGTCTGGCATGCAAATAAAACTAGAAAACGTGCAAGATTCCACATGAGGCGGGGTTTACCATTTAGCAATAAGGGTGAAACTGTACGCCAGGAATGTCTTAAAAAGCAAGTACAGAGGTGACGCACAAAACATGGTGAATACGCACTGTTGTACAAAAGGTTGTAATTTTACAGAGATTAAGAAATGCAACCAGAATATGTCTTTGGATAGACTTTACTTTTATTCGTTTTTGTACCGCACTCGCTAGTTTGCCCTTTATTCTGATCCCGCTCTCCTCTAAATAGTCTAAATTCCATCAAACCCCATGAATTCTCCCTTCATTTTATGTTTAGTCGCGATAGTTTGGGCTCCATCGGGTGGTTTCCACTGTGAGGAATTTGTGGTACTTCGCAGAGGCTTGTAATGAATCAGTGTTGGTGGAAGTAATTAAGTAAAACAAATCGTTCATCAGATCAACGACTTGAATATCCAGATCACTACTCAGATTCCTCCAAAAATATTCATAATATGGAATTTGCACGTTTACTTCGTCTTTGATTTATATATGACATTACAATTTCTTGGGGATTATGTATGGTGTGTTTTGCTTTGAAAACCATGCAGGTCTGTCTGTCTTAATTGATTCCCTCCTATAGATGCCTAGTACAGGTTATAGGTTAAATATTACATGATATTACGGACATAACTCACGTCCTAAACCCTGGGAATGGCATGCGTAGATCAAATAATTTTTTCATGGGATGTAAACAATCAGGAAACTTGTTTCCTGTCGACTCTAAGAGTTATGAAATAATCACTACATACGTTTACAGGCGTTTGGTTCTGACAACAATTGATATCCCTGGTTACATGTGCAGTAATGTCCATTTGACGACTGGATGCAAATGTGGTCACACCCGCCGTTGTTAATACTGCACACGCCTACTGAAAATGTGAGTATTGAGGGGTTTTGTATTTGTGGAATTTATTTGATGAAATATCTTACTATTCAATTATTTCGTCAGGTTTGTCGTTAACTATGCTTGTAAACTAAAATTATACTTAATAGCCAGTGTCATACTAATACGGTCAATACTGATTCTTCCCCTTTATAAGCTCTTAGCTTCGGTTCTTTCGTTGACTCCCCTGCACAATAATATTTCATCACATAATCAGCAGCAAGAGCTGTATATAGTCGTCCTTACCTTGGCGACTTTCTGGGCTTGGAATCCCTGGGGGCCCTCTTTCCCCCTTGGGACCTGGGGGTCCCGCAATTCCCGGCAAACCTGTAAGAAATCGTGTTTGATATATGCCTTTAAAAAAACTAAGTCGATTAAGGGAATGCCGAACAGGTCTGAGAACTAGCCACAAGTAAGATAGATATTTTACAATGAGAAGTTCTGTTAAATATGCAGCTTCATGCACACTGAATAAAAAATGAACGCGTTACCAACAGGCCCCGGTCTGCCAGGAGCCCCATCCTCTCCATTGAATCCACGGGGACCAGCCACACCCTTATCACCACGTGCCCCAGTCTGCCCCGTGCGTCCCGAGGCTCCAGGTGCTCCCGTTATTCCTCGCAATCCTGTTCCACCACTTGGTCCAACGGGTCCAGTCGGACCATCAGAACCTCGTTGACCTTTTGGACCCTGCCTTCCGACTAAGCCAGTTGGGCCCTGAGGGCCAGTGTTTCCTCGAGGTCCAGGGAAACCAGTGAACCCAGAGGTGCCTCTGTCGCCTTTGTTGCCCTTTTCCCCAGACGCCCCTGTTGGTCCTTCTCTGCCGTTGCCACCAGGAACACCTATTTTACACGAACACACAATCTAAGAATTGACTGAAAACCCAGCTACATGTATCAACACGTGAGCGACAGCGTGTGCATTAATGGGATTGCTATCATATGGTAAGCAAAAAAAAAAAAAAAAAAAAAAAAAAAAAACCGTTGGCGTTCAAAACAAACTATCCTAAATGTTCGCATATAAAATGGCTTATAAGAAGCGCATAATACACCACTTTTTATTTTTGAATTTTAATGTTTTAGAAATCAGGCCTTCTGTCTAGCATCGGCACCCATACTCACCTCTCATTCCTGTTGGTCCTGTCGGCCCAGTTTTACCGGAAAGACCATTTTTTCCAGGCGGTCCCATTTCACCCCTCGGCCCTGTATGGCCGTAGACACCGCGGGCACCTGAAGGTCCAGTGGGTCCCATTGGTCCTGTTGGACCTGGGATACCATTACCCCCTTAAAAATATAAGATTGAAAGGGATAAATTTGTAGATCATTCTAATGAAACATTACAAAATTAGGATTGAAATGCACCAATATTTAATTGCAGTGCCTTTAATGAGTAAGTTTTCAAACTGATCAGATTCACATTTGAAACGCTTTCCAGGGCAAAGAATCCCTACCAATCTCAGAAGTATCCTGCAGAGAAACGTATTCCACTGCAATGGAATGTTTCATTTCCAAACTTCTTTTAGGAAAAGTTTTGACACTTCCTTGTTTTACGTATGGAAACTCTCCCTTTGGTTCTAGGTAGTGCACTCGATACCTCGCCACCAGATCAAACGTTATAGGGTCAAAGTCTGCTCCAAATGACCATCCAATGTGAGAACCATTTTTAATGTAAGGGGCATCCGATACTGGGATCTAAAAAGGATAAACGTTAAATACATTTTTATTTATGAAATTGCACTACTTATTTTGCCTTTTTTTCTTCTTTTTACTGACAAAGAAACAAATGTAAACAAATTCAAAGATAAATACCAATACGGCTTTTTTTCGAAGAAAAGGACTCTAAACTCAACAGATTTGAACTAAACAGCAGATTTTTCTTACAAGGATTGTCTGGGATTGCTCTCTCTCTCTCTCTCTCTCTCATGACACTTCAAGTGATATGAATTCTTACAAAACAAACAAAGGCAAATGAAATAAAATTCTCCCCTTACCCTTACTTCCCCGGGTGTCTGCGGCAAGAAAACGTTCGTCAGCTGATACTCCAAACGGTGAGTAAGGGTAGCCTCATCTACTGGATACCAGATCTGGAGTGCGACAGGCATTTCAGCCGGAATTGGCCCGGCGCCTCCCACATCCTCCAAACCAGTGTCTATATACAACACAAATGCTGCCAACAAACCCTCGGGAAGAACTATTTCTTTGTCAAGGTAGACGCCTCTATTGAAGTTTCGGAAGAAGAATCGTCTATCTTGAATTTTGTTTCCAACACGTCTTAGTTCACGAGAGAGCCTGTCATTGGATGGCAATACTGAAAAATTATGGCACTTTATAAAAATATTTTCCAAATAGTTTTCTTATCTTGAAGTTTGTTTTTAATTTTGTAAGTGGGTTATATACATTTGTATTCTTTGACCATTTCCTGTTTTATCTTTTTAAATATATATTTTCGCTTACCCGTACTTGGTTGCAGATAGATACACAAAAACACGAAGAAATTTGAAAGCACCCGACCATTCTGAAATACCTACAATACGAAATGTTTTTTTGTTAAAACATTACAGCGCATATACATGTGTAAATGCAAAATAAAATAAAAAACGCAAAAATAAATAAATAAAACACCACGACATATGTAAAATTAAAATAATCCTAAGGAAGAAAAGCTAGTGTCTTACCATGTTTTTTCCCAATGCGATATAAATGATACGACGTCGTTTTCGTTAGGATTGTTAAAAAGTTAGTACGTAAAAATCTTAAAATTAAGTTCTTTTAAATCGGATTCAGGAAGCCATAAAATATTCTAGATTTATGAACTCACGCTCTCAACATTAACAGTTTCCGGACACCTGTATTCCGCTGGATGTCATTTTCCATTATCTTTTTATGGCGACATTGAATTTTAAGAGTGGAGAATTTTAATTAAAAAAGGAGTATGATAAATTTATTTCTCACGTGCTTTTATAAATCAGCAAAGGACGATTATTCCTTAAAAGAAAACGGGGTATACTATAAAATTTATTGAAGTTATTAATAACACACTCAGTCTGAATTTGCAAGATTTCATGAATGAAACTCTAAGGCAAACCACCCCTGATAGAGGGATGATTCACCTGGATAGCTTCATTACCCAATAAATATACTGTATACAGACATCTAAGCAATATAATTATATTGGAGGTAAACAAATCCAATGTGAGCTGTTGATTGAATACCAAATTATTACTTTATTATTACGCAAATTCTCGTTTTCATTTTTATGTACTTTCTTTTTTTCTACGGACGATCACATTTTTTTCATCTAAACGATTTGTGTTCAAATTCGAGGTGCTATGCAAGGATATGACATTATACTTTTGCGTCATTATAACGACTGAATTTCTATACTGCCAAGGTCTGTAGACACTTCTCTTTTATGAGGCACTAAATTTTTAGATTGGGTGTTCGATACGTTATAAAGGCCCACGCCTTTTACATGAAATATACTTATTTTGATATTAGTACAATGTAATGGACACTTTTAGGGTAAAAACCTCCTTTAAAGCGGTTTATTCACCTCACGCACTTTTGCATACAGGGTGTCCAAGTTTTTAAAGTCTGTTGCCTTTTAAAATGGTGTGAGATAGTGATCGGTGTCCGCTGGAACTAGTTAAGATGTTAGCCTGAAAATTGATGACTAGTGTGAATTACAATCCAGAGCCGACATGTGGTTTCACCTTCTTTAAAACTTAAAAGTTAGGAGTTAGGAATCCCTAAATGCGATGTTCCATCAAATAAGGCCATTGTTTCCAGATAAAATCGGAAGTAAGCCTTTCAACAAAATTACCTACACCGAATTGTAATGCTTGTTGTTGAGGTTGATTAAATAGTTTTTAAAAACGATGTTGATAGCTGTTCAGGTGAGAGAGATCAGTTTGAAATAGATATTTCCAGTTTTAAAAATGCTGCGCTTTCGTCATTAGAATAAGCAGATTCACCCTGGTGCATTTTTGAAGTGACAGCATTATCTCGTAACATGACAATTTTTATAAGGAAGAGATAAGGAAAGAATCTTTACGTATAGAAACCAGTTAAGAAGGAGACAAGTTTGAGCTTTATTTCTTCTTCTGTTAGTGACAAGGATAAAAACCTACCTTCTACCAAGGTAACAAATTTTTTGCCAGATATTTACAAATATTTCTTTGGTTTTTCAATGCAAATGTCTGTTCTGTGAGAATTTTTCGCGAAAAAAAGTCACCACTGAGCTGGGATCTGGTAGAGAATTATTATGAAAAACATTCACTTATATACTCCCACTGAATTTATAGTGGTTTCCCCTGAAAAAGGGCAAAGCGCACACATTACGTTAATGTCATTTATCAACACTATTCAATGTTTATCATTAATCTGCTTCATTTCTTTTTATCAATGGGACTTTCAATAAATCTGCCGTCATCGGCCAAATTTAGAACATCATACTTGAGTTTGTTCCGTTCTTTTAACTGGCATGTCCCATTGCTTAAATCAGCTTGGATCAAGGAGACATAAAAGAAAATGCTCTCCAAAGATCAGCTCTCGTGTTACTATTGATTATGACGGATATGGTCGGGCTTATTGAGGACAGGCTCACTTAATATGAACTTGATCAGTACTGACATTTTTGTCAAGTTTCGTCTTTTTAGAAATACACCCTTTTTATGCATGTACGGATTTTCATGTCATTCACATTTTCCTTTTGCTGTTCCGAGAAAAGCCAGCTGTACCAAACTAGAATAGTGCTTAAGTTAGTCATAACTTAGTCGTAAATTTACGCATATCAACATTTTAAGGCTCATATAATATGTATTGGCCCTCTTATATTTTTTAATCTACAAGATGTAAGCTGGATTAAATTAAATGATATCACATGGTGTAGATAAGAAGATCATGAAATAGTTGACACTGTTGTAAAACTATAAAAAGAGAGCAATGTTGTGTAATTTTGGCTTTATTTTCAGACTCAAAAGTTTCAATACCAAATGTGAAGGTGTTCAAATCCATTAATTGGAATACGCACTACCTCCAACGCGTTTTCCACATTCTCAACAGGCATCATCAATCAAACATTTAATTTTTTTTTACATACTATAATAATATTTTGATTCGGAATACATTTACGATTTTATTGCTATATATCCAAGGCAACAGCAAAGTTAACATATTGTAACGTTTTAATTTCTAAATCAAAATGGAATAATGTAGCTTATGAATTTCTCAGTCACTGAAATGCTCATTTTGTGTTTATTTATGCCGTCATCCCATTATGACTGCAGTTGCGAATTCCTCATTAACCCAATTATACCATCCACGTATTGTTGGGCGGTGATGCAACGAAGCCTTACTCGGGCGTAGTAAAGACGATCGATTTTTGTCTTGGTGCAACGGTCGTAAGCAGTGAGAGTAAACCTGGTGCACGGACACTAGGTATTGCGGTTTACGACAGTCGTATCCGAGTAAATTTACGCCCCGTTGTCGTGTAAGCGAAAACTGCGTAATACCCGTCTTTGCACGTTTTATAAATCAATCTAGTCTGGTTCTTACTGGATTAAGTTCCGTGATTTTTAGTCATTCGTTATCATTTGCTTAAATAGTGTTTCTGCAACCTGAAAGCAAACAATTTTACATACGCAAAAACACTCCCTTTGGATTACGAAGGAAAACCAAATCTGAATGACATTATTACGAAACTTCATTTCTCATCTAACTAAACAAAAACTGTACATTTAGCTTCTAAGAAAAAGCATTTTGTTATATTCAACATCTTGTTGAAGAAGATGGAAATAAAAGCGTCGTTATAACAACTGCATATCTTTCACTGCTAAGGTCTGTCGACACTTCTCTTTTTTGTAGCACTAATATTTTATAGATTTAGTGTTTGATACTTAATAAAGGCCTACACTGTACGTTTGGGGTAATAAGCGGTTTCCCCGCTTCTCTTATATGGAATTTGCTTACATTGATTTCAGTACAATAAAATAAACACTATTAGGGTAAACACTCCCTTTTATCATTTTTTCACCAATTCACGCACTTGTGCATAAAGCGTGGCCAAGCGTTTATCGTCAGTTTCGTTGTCTTTAATAAACAGGCTTTAAAAAATGATGATGATAGCTGTTAAGGTGAAGGACTTCCTCTATCAGATACACTGCAGGTTTCCATGTACAAGTACTATGCGGTGTCGCGTTAGCGGAAACTGCGTAGTACGCTTTCGTCTTTACATGTTTTGTAAATCAGTCTAGTCTGGTTCTAACTGGATTAAGATCCGTGTTTTTTTTAGCCATTCATTATCATTTGCTTATATAGTGTTACTGCAACCTAATAGGAAATAATATTATATACGCAAAAACACTCCCTCTGCACTACGAAGGAAAACCAAATCTGAATGACATTATTACGAACTTTATTTATTTAATTAAACAGAAACTGTACATCTACCTGCTAAGAACAAGCCTTTTGGTATATTCAACATCTTTTTGAAGAAGATGGAAATAAAAACGTGCTCTTTCTTGCACATCACAGTCTTTCTCCTCTATCATAAGAAACTCAAGCAGCTTGCCCAGAGTGTCCTGACATTCCGCGGGTCTTTTAGCAAATAGCTTTACACATGCAGACAGAAGATGCAACTTTACGCCCGTGTCACAGAGTTCTCCCAGTTTCTCTGAATAATCCTCCAGCATATAAGGGGCATCATCTATATGTTCTCCATATTCACCCAGGAGCCAGAACATAGCACACAGCCCTTCTGGATCTTGGATAACTTCGGCACATTGTTCTAAGCCATGAAATATTTTTTCCAATTCGCCCAATTGATCGATATCTAAAGATTTCAGAACCTGCAAAACACTACTTGATATGTAGTCTACATTTAAATGAAAAAGACTGACCAATCTGCTGATGCAAGTACCTAAGTGACAGTTATGCTTTACTGCGATTTTACCAATTGCAAATATGGCATTTTGGGCTACTTCAATTGAGTGATCTTTAGAAAGCATCATCAGCTCATCTAACGCATTTTTCACCTTATCTTCTGACGCAATCATGGGGATTATTTTCAATTTTTTCACTTTAAGGTACACAGGTTCTTTTTGTTTACAGAAAAAGGATTTTATATCATCTGCAAACAAATCCCCACTTTCAGGAAGAATGTTCTCATCAATGAATGTTAGAATCATAAAACAAACTTCTGGATTGCCTGCATTTAGGAAACTGACCAGACTTGGCTTTATCCTTTTAAATATTTCAGTTTTTATATGTGGCAAATCCTTACTAAGGTGCAGGAAAACTTTGAATGTGGCTTCTACAACAGCACTGTTACTGTGACCAAGAAATTTGTCTAAAATGTTCATAATTTCAAACACCTCATTTTCGCTTTTTGGTTTGTAATTTGTTAAGACATCCATTACAGTTGCAACACCCCATTCTGTCAACTCCTCCAGTTTGTTCAGTAGATGATAGGCAATTTTTCTGTTCACCACAACACCACCCTCACTATGCAATATTTCATTCAATGCATGCAAGCAGTTGACTACAACAATAGGATCCGAGTCACGAAGCATGCCATACAAAAGGTCCACTAATCCCAGGTCGTCGATAACAAGAGGCAAACTTTTATAAATTCTAGCACAACTCATGACAGCAATGCGTCGCACGTAAGCACTTTGATCCTGCAGAGCAAGTTTCAAAGGTTTCAAACTGTACTGCATCAACTCTGCATCCCTCAGTGAGCATAATGTTTTCAGAGCAAGGCCACGGATGGTTGGGTTAGGATCTGCACAGTCTTTCAACAGTGTGTTCAGGGCCAGTAGAAGGTCTTCATTCTTTTGGTTGGCACATTTCTCAAGGTAAAGACAGGCTAGCTTTTTGATGACTAGGTCATTACTGGCTAAATGTTTGACCATCTGAGGTGTTAACAAACTTGTGTCTTCCCCTTTTGAGACTGCAACTAAAACCTGAAAATGTCAATGAAATCATACACAACTGTTGCTATAAAATCAATATTAAAGTTGTTTACTGTTAAAACAGTTTTTGTGAGTTGGCACATTACATTGTCCTGGTATCTTTGACTAAGGATAAGCAAAACATGTATTGATATGTACAATGTCATATTTTTACTGAAAAATATAATGCAATATCACTGATATCTTGCCATCTATAAAGATAATTGTTGCTTTTTTCGTGACATTCAGTCATTCAACATGGTCAGGAAATGAAAATACTCATTACAGATAAGACAAGGACTTTGTTTACAAGGCTAAAATAAGAAACATCAGAACAGGACACTGTGTATCATAACAATAACACTATCACCTTGTTTACATATTTTGTCTTGAATATGAGTCACAAGTCATTAGCATGTTTACATGAACAAGTGCACACACACTAACGGCCAATGTGAAAGCAGTAAGAATTACTGTGTGACATATTTAATCTGTTGCCCAGCAGGGCCCAATTTGGTTCATCCAGATTTTAGCCTAAATCAAACTGTTTTGATGACTTCCAATTAAAATTATCATTACAATTATCACTACATGTTTCGGAAATAAAGAGCGTTGTCAACAGAAAGTATCAGATACATGGCCTAAAAGGAGGTTTAAGATCCGGAAGGAGTTTGATAAATAAAGCCAATCCTAAACCCCAAAAAAATAAAATAAATAAAAATAAAAGTAATAATAGAATTAAAACAATAAATGATGATAAATAATAATAATACAACAAATCAGGAAAGTGTGAACTAGTTTTTAACAGAATCCAGTAGAATGCCTAAGCTACGTTTGTCTTTCCAGTATATTCAGGGCAGACAATTAAGCTGATCACAACAATTAAAGGGATAATAACTCTTCGTTTTGGCCAAAAAATGAATTTTCCTGGAGTAAACAACAATTTTCCAATACTTACCAATGGTTAATGAATCCATTTTTACATTCAAAGTTAGTCCCTGTTTTTTTTCTAAAAAGTTTGGTTTTTTGTTAAAATCTCTTAAGAGATTATAACAGAGTATAGCCATCAATGGGGGTCACGTGATCTGAAGACAAGCTCAGATATCAGAATAATAGCTATAACTGCTGTTTTCGTCGTAAAACAGAATATTTTATATTTCTACGAGTTATTCACAATGTTTTTATTGTGAAATATAGATTTCATACAAAGAGTTATTATCCCTTTAAGCAACATGAACAACATCATGCACCACCAAGTTTTCTTGACTTTACCCAAGTACTTCTAGTTACAAAGGGGTGTGTTAGACATTAACTATTAAGTGGCTTAAACTGAATGCAATTTAGGGAGAATTCCTGAGGACTTAGATCGATCCAGTTAGTACGATAGGGTTATGGAAATGGTCCCTTAAATCACCAAAGGTGGAAGGAAAAGAGACCAACAGCAGATTTAAATATAATCACAATCACCACAAGTCCACAGAACAATGCTCATATGGGAATTAAGTGATACAATCTTTGACTTGGTTCCCATACTTAGATTGATCCATCTGGATTGACCTAACTCCCTGGGGGAGGGGCTTCACGCTAAATTGCTATCAGCTTAAGAGGCTTAAATGTCTGTCAGGCCTACCGAATCAGCTAAGGGGTAAAGATAATTACCCCCTAACAGTTTTACTAGGCGTGACAGATGTTTAAGCCGGTTAGTTTGATAGCAATGTTGTGAGACTCCCCAGGGAGATAGATCGATCCAAATATCTGTGGGAATGGTCCCTATGATGATGCTATGGCCTACGACGTTTCCAAAGTATTTTCACCACATGAAGCAATCATGTACCCAATTTGCCGACTGGACTGCAATTTTTATTTAGGCCATAAAACACACACAAAATTTTTTCAAATGACTTTTAAAACCATGCTGCATGCCGAAATCAGCATTGGTGACTGTGTGACCTATACTTTCAGTATACAGACACATGGAAGCCTTAAACAAAGTCTGTGCAAATTTACCGCCAAATCATGAAAAAGGGGAACCTTTTAGAATTTCAAACTGCACAAAATCACTTACTTAATTTACATAATATTTTGAGATAGTAACACCTAACTACTGAATGTTGATTTGGTAAAAGTCCATGTATTCCAGCAGCACAGACTGTGACCAAAATATAAACTACAAAAGAAGTACTCAGGTGTTATATCCAGATCAGACCAGCTGAACTGGTTGAAACCAGTTTGTGGTCAAGGCACTATACTGCCCTTCAATCTAATATAATTACAGTATTATGTTATTGCTTCATAAACCATTGGAACTTCGAAACTTTTGGCATTGATAGTTCTAGTTGAAAAATTATTTTCCCAAATATTAAACCTATTATTTTGAAAGCTGTTTTATTTAATGTCTCTAGCCAGACTATATTATTTATAGTTCAAAATATGCATATATATATATATATGGGTGCAGGAACTAAATAAATATACAGACCTGTTATATACCAGTACTGCCATAAAAAAGAAATTGATATTTTAAACATGCAGTCTAAATGAAAATAAGGACTTATTTTATTCATTTTACTATAAAAATTAAAAACATAAAATTAAATCCCCACAAAGAAATATAATTGTTTATTTTATATATGTATTGGACATCCACCCAGTATTTAGTTTAGACATGAAAAAAAAATCAAAACATTTAGTCAAGAAATTTAATTGTGAAAAGTAAAAAAATATATAAACTTACATATTAATAATGTTCATAAAAAGATCAGTAATTTGTAATTTTCTTGCATTAATTTTCATAGTTTTACATCTTTCTGTCTGACTGGGCAAAGGCCTGTAGATACTAGTTTGTGTTCAATTTTGTGACAACATGCATATTTGTCAAAAAAATTTGTGCTACCAAGTTACCACACCTTGGCAGCTTGGCAGATGCCAAGAGTTAGGGTCAGGCCCTGATATACAAAATTTAAGTATGAGCTCAGCCCCTATGGAGAAACAATCAATCTGAGTGTGTGGTGTAATGAAACTACCCAGCCCCTACCCACCTTTTAAACCTGCTTCAGCAGTAGAGGAGGATAATTACAGGGTAATGTGTAATTAAGTGATTCGGCTAGGCATTGCATTACGTAACATAGACAGGGATGTGCCCTACTCAGCATGGACCAGTTAGCACTTGGATCTTCTCATTCTGAATGGGGCCTGAGACAGTTTTCTGCATAGTTTATTTAGGGCTTAACTCGAGTCTCTACCACTATAAAGTTCTCTCTATCGGTCAGTCCCTCTAGCATCAGTCTCCCTCTCCCTCTTCTATCTCCTAACCCAATTTGCATTTTAAATGAACTTTGTCTGACATGCAACCTGCCATACACACTATGTCAATGGCCTGAATATATTAAAGCTTACTTGTAGATACATTTCAAATGAACTTGTCTGAGCAAATATGCAAATCGCATGCAAACTATAACTACTATCAATGGTTCAATCATGCAACCTGCCAAATACACATCTGAGCATACCAAAGCTTTTAATAATTAAAATTATAGTTACACTTCAAATTAACCTGGTTGGAAAAATATGCAAATCACATTCAAACTATAATTACTACCAATATAACTTTACTAAATACTGCCAATATAACTATATATATATATATATATATATATATATATAGCTTCATCAATGGTTCACTACACCTTGTCTCACGCTATGATGATGCTATGGGATGGTACCTTGCATGTACATGTACATGTTACTAGGCCAGAAAACTGAGTCAAAAAAGGTCACCCCTCTCAAATTCACCGTTTTTTCTTTTGGCTTTTGCAAGTAAAATCTGAATCTGGATGTGTAAGCGTAGCATGGCCTGCTCGGCATAGAAGTGATGGGGAAGATAGTGATTTGTGGGTATTAGATTTGTGAGTACTGGTGTTCAGAACGAGTCAGCAGACTGTAGACAAACTATAGATAAACAGGGACAGGAGAAATAAATAAATTAGAAGGAGTGTGGCGATAAATGTATCATTGTTTATGTTGCCATTGCTACACTGCAGCGTATCGATATGTTGACATTTAAAAATGCAGGCTTTGAAGAGGTGTACATCGGGCTTCACCGATCATAACAGATCCTCACCTGCGTTATAGCTTGGCGACAAGCAAAAACATCAGTCTGCAGTTCCGGTTTAGCTAAGATGTGAGAGAGCGACATAGCATCCGCTTTTTCTGTTAGCCAGAAAACTTGGGGGGAAATATCCACAACCGTACACGCCTAATAGTTAGTAAGTTCCAGATTCAACATCATCTCTTCCGTTCGTGTTCACGCCGTCTGTCAGGCTTCTAGGAGAAATTTTTGTAACGAACGATGCTATTGGCTTTCAAAAACGTGACGTCACTTCACGTCGACGACTTATAAACAACAAGCACGCTGCATTGAGGTTGCTTTTCGCTGTGGTTTTGCTGAAAGAGGTAGGTAAGCTAGTTACTGTATGCGATGGATGTTATCTTAACATTTGCGACAAAATTTAGAGTGCACACATAGATCAAAACGCTTTTTCCTTACAGGTTGGCCACATGACTGAAGTCAGTGAAGAGGGAGAGAGTATTTTTTGTGAGAAAGCAGAAAAAGAACAAAAAACGGAATTATGCCCAAGTGCTTCCAATGCCAATGGTTTGGTGGTTCGACCTATGTCAGTGGATGATGCAGATATTGTGGCAAGGCTGACGGTGAAGGCGTTCAAAGCTAAATTTGAATGGGCTGTTGGAAAAAAGAGGTAAGAGAGAGCAAAGTTACAAAGTTCGTAAATTGGAAAACGACACGGTGGAAATTCCTAAAATGATCGATTTAGGATATGTTTTAATTGTTTCTTTTTTCATAACTTGGCTGAAAATCATGTCACAGTTTTGTATTTGCCACATCAGATGTAGGGTGGAATCAAATATTAAATTTTGTTAAGTTGTGAATATTTTAAGATGAAACTATTGAAAAATGAAGAAAACAAATAAGTTAATTAACTAACCCAGATCAAGTCGGGCCCCTGCTTAAAAAGGGTCATTATAATACCAGAAAAGGGAGCAATTGCAAAAGAAATGTCCAATGCAAAAAAAAAAAAATAATAAAAAATAAAATAAAATAAATAAATAAATTTATATATATATATATATATATATATATATATATATATATATATATATATATATATATATATATAATTGCAATAAGTGCTGTATTTTTAAAGCTTACAGAAGTCTGGGTATTATGTTTACAGACTTGTATTCAAATTTTTAAAGGGTATTATATAAACAAAAAAAGAGTGAAATAATCTGATTGAATTGTAAGGCTATCATCCACTTTTCTGCCCTTGAGATTTTTCATTTTAGATTGATGAAAGGGGTTTGTGGCATGCAAGAGCATCTGGCCTTTGTATAAACATAGAGATGTGACTAGGTTTTCTATGGTGATTATTGACTTCATAGTTGCAGCTTTGAAATAAGCAAAATCACTAGTTCACCTTTTTTAAGTCAGAGCAGAGGAGTGATATGGCATGGAATTTAGGAAGCTACAGGTATACATATTGCATAGGCAGGAATGTGGTAATTTACCACCATCTGCTTTCAATAGAGGGCATTAACAATTTATACAGGTAAAAATATATTACTTAAAACAGTTTAAAGTGGAGAACAGTTGTACAGATCTTTTTATATGTGTTATATGCAGTGATTTCAATATGGCAGTTTGGAAAATAATCCAGTTGTTTTTTTAAATTTTTGTTTGCTTATCATGTAAGAGCGTGAGGTGGGGGATGATAACAAAAGGTCGCAAGGGCCAGTGGGGTCAACAGGGCATCTAAGGGGATATTGGTTATCTGTGTTTTATTTGGAAAATGTTATTCCCAGTTATCACACTGCATAATTTATTGTTTCACACACACATACAGGCACATATACACATTAGTGATAAACATATTTTACTGTATAAATTAAAAAAAAAACTGATTTCTTTGCTTTTACGTGCAGTCTCCTTACATGAAAACAGGTTAATAAAACTGACAAGTGTTTTGTCATTATTTAGGTGAACTAGAACATTTTTGTACAGGTTCAGAGAAAAGTCAAATGTGATTCAGTTTTAGGTTTGTCTGATATGAATGCAGGTTATGAAGATGATAATAACTAAGGGTGCAATCCCAGAGATTTAGATCAATCCAGAGATTTAAATTTAGATCAACCGAACTTCTTGGAGGTTCACGCTAAATTGCAGTCAGTCGAGTGCACACCATAGTTAATTACCCTCTTACAGCTTTTAGTAGGTGGGACAGACGCTTAAGCCAGCTAAGCTGACAGTAATCTAGTGAGACTCCCCACAGGGATAGATCGATTTAAAATCTTTGGGAATGGGGTCTAAGCCAAGTTTGTTGCTGAGACTTGTACACATGCTGTGGGGAGTAATTTTTGTTGCTAATTAGGCTTCAATGACAAAGAGAAACATTTACTGCCTGAACACAAGTAGTCATATCAATTGATTCTCTCAGGGAGTGAGTATTTCATGTTCACAAAAAAAAAACACATGGTGAAAAATTAACCAAAATTAATTGAGAAATAGCTTTTGAACCTGCTACTAAACATTTCTATGTAAATGATTATGAAGCATTTGAGTTAAAGTACCATATACAGTATTTTTTCACCCAGGTTACCTGATCTTCTGTTCATGGTCACACTGCCATATAGGTTAAAATATAAATTTACATTCTTTGTGAAAAGAGCATTGAGCGTTCAGTGTAATCCAATAAGGAGTACAAAGGTCTTTTTGGGTACAGTGTACTGGGATGTCCTATAAGAGTGTCATGTATGTTGTCCTAAAGAATAATGCAGTGTGTATAATTACGTATATGTAACAATGCATGGTATGCTGATGTGCATATTATGCTGTTGAGATTGCAGGGCATGACTGTTGCAAAGTATTTAGAGTGATAAGAGAGACAATTATGTTACATGTAAGTCATACGTTTGTGTGCGTGTTGTGTTTCAATGTGTGCATTAATTAAAATATAGGATTAAAAAAGTTCTAAGAACCAAAGTCATTTCTTATATGAGAGAATGTTTGTTTGGCAAATGGCAAATACTGAACGAATTGTATGTGGCAAATATGTGTTTGAGATTTTGTTAGTAATTACTGAATTGCCTGTCCTGTTTTAGCAGTCCAAATGTCTTCAAATTCATAAATGCATTCATTATATATCCATAAATGATTCAGTGAAATATAGCCTATTTTGATGCACTGTTAATTGAAGTTGCAAAAAAGGAGAAGAAACTAATATGATGAAATTCAGAAAGTAAAGATGTACGTTTCTTATTTAAATTAACCCTTTAATGTAAATTTTTTCTTTGTAGCATAGAGAAGATAGTGGCTGGGCAAGCAGCAGAGAACAGAGATCCTAAAAAATACCAACACCGCATATTCATAGCAGAATATGATGGAAAGGTAGCTGGTTGTATTGGGATCAAGTTCTTTGGAGACAAGTAAGTTCTGTTACATCATATTTATTAGCATAGAGCTGATAAAACCAAGAATATCCCATAGTTTCAGTGAGATTGATTTCTGTGTAAGACTTTGTGATTAAAAAAAAATGTGGTGCTTTTGTTTGAAGAGGCAGATCGATGAGAATACTTATTAATTTTACATAAGTGTAGAAGGGTTTTAGGAATATTACTTTTCAAAATGCAGCGTAACAAAAACTTGTTGTTCTAGCATTTACTATGAATGCATGTTTTTGTCAGCGAAGCTCAAAATCTGACAGATTCAGTCATATTGCTCTTTGCTCAACCTTCAAATAAAAAACCTTAGCTTAGCCTTTTAAATTAGGTGCATGTGGTAGAAATATAGGCAAGCAATGTATTATTCGAGACATATTGCTCTTGGCAAGTGTTTTCTTACCAATTTAAAGTGATTGTTGCATACATGTGAAAAATAACCTCACATTTTAATTCTCATAGGTGAGGATTAATAAAGCGGTGCATATTTCTTTTCTGATATATCTAGGCACAAGCTTCTCAAGCACAACTACAAGGGCATGGGTTGCCTGCCATTACTTAGATTACGTTGTATGGCTGTTTCACAGAACGAGGATGTGAAAGACCCGACAGCATGCTACATCAATGAACTTTGTGTGGCTGAAGATTATCGTGGAAAAGGCATAGGAACTGCTCTGTTACAAGCTGCAGAAGCAGAGGCTGTTAAGCATGGATGCACGGTAAGAACAGTGATGTAAAGCAGGGATCAATTTTTTTACTTTGTAATGGGAAATCTTTCTATTTTGTTATAAAAAATCATTGTTTAGTCAGTTTTACTTCTACGTCTTTTCCTTGTGAAAGCCTTGAACATGTTATTTGGAAGCCTATAATGTTTTGACCAAATGGATTAAATTTGACTATGTCCAGGAAATTTACGTATTTTTGGAAAACTGTACAATTCATGAAGAAAATGTGAAAGATACATACAAAGCGACATTGGAGTCCATTCTTTTATATTCAAGATTTCTTTTGCATTTATGTCATGTCATGTAGATCCAGGAGCATAAAGTTGGGCAATAAATTTTCTTTAAAATAAAAGTAAATAGTTATATTAGTTAATTGGAGCCTTTGAACTTATGGAAAATCTTCTTTCACATTAAATTCTAGAAAACCTTGTTGCATGTGGCCTTGGGGAACCCAGCTCTCCATCTGTATCAAAGAGAAGGCTATAAGAAAAAAGGAGAGGAGATAGATTTAATTTCCTATTGCATTATTGGTGTCAAGGTGAGTTCAGATAAACACATTGAAATTGGTTTTTTTGTAATGTGATAGTATTATGAATACAACATAGTCATCTTGAAGCATCGCTTTCTTGAATAAATACTGAAAGGTCATTTGTTTTTTCTCTTGGCTAGGGCTGGTACTTCATGGAAAAAGAGCTAATCACCTGACTAGATGTGGAACTAGATGGCAAAAGTTCCTCAAGCATCCATGCTTCTGATGGGTGAAGATCTCGCCTCGCGGCTGGTAGTGGGTACTTTTCGGGTTAAGGGAAAGTTACATGTTTGGTACGCTATAGGGAGGATGCTAGAAATATTGCTGTAAAGCAGGTACCTCTCATTGGTACAAGTGGTGGTACTATATATGTGGTACCGTCAAGGACTGAATGAGCACTGTTTGCCCCCCTGGCAGTATAGTCTTGACATCACCAAGTGACAGCTGTCTGTCTTTAGATGGTGGCATAATGGATTGACAATAAAAAACCTTTTGACAAGAAATTGGTCTGTGAACATTAAAAACTACACAGTAAGAAATGTTGATGACTTTTATTTGCATGTAGTAAAGGAAAAGAAAATGCTTGCAATCATAGTGTAACAGCATACTGACCAGAAATAAGGTTTGTGATATTAACATTAAAATTTGAAAATCTTACAAGAATCATTCCTGCAACAATTACTGGCAAATTTTGTAGGACTTGTTATTAAAATGTGTGTAATACGGATGCTTTTTCTCAAGGTGCTTAACTAAATCAACTTACTATGCCACTTGGTGGCAGAGCTACAGGTGATAGACACAAAGAATAAGTCCATTTTCACCAGTTTGGAAGTGGGGTCTATTGCAACTTGTGGGGTCTTTGCACTGCTTCATCTGCGCTGTAACGCCTACAAGACTTGCACAAAAAAGGCAGGCTTGGCTGGTGGTACTCACTCCGAGGGTGGCATCAACCAGTGTGAACATCTAATCTAATTATTTAATTCATATTTTTTTTATATAAGATGTAACATGATTATTATTTTAAGGTTCCATGTATTTAAAAAACATACTGAGCATATTTAAATAATATAAAAAACATTCTAGGGACTATTACCATAAAAGAGCATATTTTATTATTTTTCATTTTTGAATTAGATGTCAAGCTATTTATGAATGACTAAATATTATGCTTGACTACTTTATTAAAAATTTACAGATTAATTATATTAAAAATTATTCTTTGCTTTTGTAATTTCATAATTGTTTTAAATGTTTCTTTGCTTTATCTTGTTTTTCGATAAAAAATGTCAAATCTTATAAGACTTGTGTTAATTCTTTCACATCATGAAAAAATAAAAGCATAATAAAACCAGCTGTTATTCTCTTACATGTCAAATATCCCCTTCCAAAGTTCCTCAAATTAAATAAATCCTATATGTCAAATTTCTCAAAAAATATTATGACATACTTGTCTAATAATATATACTGTTACTGGAATTCTGTGCATAACAGAAGCACGTTTCACATATGTTATGCACTAGAATATCTCCTATGTTTAACTTGGAAATTCTGCTATATATATTGGATTTTTTACCCTTGGTGCAAAATGCATTTGCTGGAGAAAATGCAAAAGGGCATGTGAAAGGTTTAACCTGCATGGCCGTCTTGGAGGTAAAAGGTTTATTAATTACAAAAATGCCTTCGAAGTTGGTTTACCACAGAGATTAATGAGTATCTGTATAATAAATTTTGGCAATTTCATTTTTAGCAAACCTTTGTTTTAGAAAGTAGTTCTCAAATATCATTTCTGTTAAGTTCTGAAATCTTATTTCTGTATGCATGTAGAACTAATTTGCAAGCAGCAGCTTGGGAGCTTGCAATTTTATTGATTTTATACAGCATAGGTTTGGTATGCTCCTTAAACCTCATGGGATCTTCTCATATTGCAGAGTAAGGCAGTGTATGTTTCAAAGATATAAAACGTATCTGCTTTGCTTGTAATGTATTATGCCACAGACTTACTTAAGAAAAAATTGAAGTGAAAACATAAAAGAGAAAGATATTCATCACAATTTAGAAGCCATCAACAGCCCTCATACACACATCTAATATTAATGGCAGTGTCTAAAAATAATTGAATTCCACACAAATTTTTAATTGAACTTGACTGGATTACACTGGTTATTATCTTTTTTAATCAAGAATGAGTACAATGAGAATGAGTACAAAAGTACAAAACTCAAAGGTGCTGGCTGCTATGTGAAAGAATATGACACAATTTCATCTGGCAACCAATTCTCGCAACCAAAATCTAGATTGGTCAAAAAAATCCCCAAATCAGAGTGTCAGGATATATGTGCAGTCATTTCTCCTTGGCACTGAGCAAAAGTTTGATTAAAAGCAACAATAACCTCTATTATAAAAGTTTATAAAATGAGCGTGCCTCAAATGTGACAAAAAAACATGAAGATGGCATCCAAACTTTTTCTCAATACAAATTATATGACAGTGGCAATATGACACAATGCATTATTGAGTGATGTTTTTGTGTAACATCAAAAATTAGAAAAATAGTCTAAGCATTAATGTCATACATACATTATTGGGTGTGCTCATCAAGCAAGGTAACACTCTTCAATTAGTCATACAAATTGGTGTCCATTTCATTAACAATGTATGTGACAGCAAGAGTAAGTTTACTGAATCAGGCCCATATCCAGCAATTTCAAAAGGAGGGGTTATTTTTCTGAAAAAGTGGACCTTTTACTATGAAATCTTAGTGTACCTAAAGAAAATTTTACAACTCTGTATAAAAAAAAATGTTGTTGAGCCTTTGCAAAAAAGGAATATAAAAATGGTAAATGCTCAACCAACCTCATTTCACCAATACTCTTTGGAAAACAATCTCTATGACCTGCTTCTATCATTAATTAAAAATATTCATAATACCAATTGGCTGTTTTCTATATTGATATATAACATACAAAGATGTCAAACATACCGGGCAATTCAAAGCCATTCTGGCAATAAAAATCAATACAGAATCTAATGAACTGATAAAAAATATTAAAAAATAAGGCAAAAGAATAAAATGAAGAGATATTTACTAAAAGTGACCATAACTGTTGATTGCACAAAAAGGATTTTAATTATTTCATTCGCTGCCCCAAGCCTGCAAAATAAGTAACTAATATTTAACTGGTTCGAACATTTAAAAAAATCCATTATGCAGTTAGGGCGGTCTAAATACTGCTGACATTTCACTTATATGTCCCACTACAGTTAGGTTTGCAGCAAAACTACTCTTTAAATGTTAATCTACTAAATTATATTCAGCACATGATCATAAAATTATAGAAAAAAATAACATTTCTCTATCACCTTTTGTGATTAAACCCCACTGTGAATACACAGAAATGTCACCATTACAACTGCAGTGGTTTGGGTATTCCAGGATAGAATCCACTCTTGTGCTCGTTTTCATGATCAAACACTTGATACTTGTGGTCAAGTGGGAAATCTGAAAGATTAAACACTGTATCAGTTAAAAAAAAAGAAATGTAAAGAATGTTATTTTTCATGTTTATTTCCAGAAATGACATTCAAGGTAAACAATATGCTGACAATTCTTTGGGCTTCAATCAAATTAATATAAAGCGATAACAACTTAATTTTGGCTGGAAAAGTGCCGTAAAACTGATTTTCCTGGGGTGAACGATTTATAAAGTGTTAGTACATGTTTTTTTTCAAAAAAAAAAAAAAAAAAAAAAAATTGGTTTTTGTAATGAACTCTTCAGAGACTATGAGCGCATTCTCAACGAATTAAGCCAGGCTTTACAAAGCCGGTGACCTAAAAATGGCGGACGTACATGAAAGAAAAACCGCCTAATCTTTTAATAGTCTCTCCGCCTCCCCACACGTCGTCCCTGCGGGGTACAGTAATTAAATCGCGTCTCCGTTCGCCATGCGGAAGCTACCTGAGAAATATTAAGTGCGCATGCTCATCAGTTAAACTCGTGGTGAAGAAAGCATAGCGGCTGAAGGCGATCGAAGGAAACAAGCTCTTCTGTTCTATTATCTTTGAAAACAGAGCAGCAATGAATCGACTATCTACGGAGATAATATCACCAGAGATATTCACGGAAATATTAATGTTCGGAGCCGAGATTTAATTACTGTACCCCGCAGGGACGACGTGTGAGGAGGCGTGTGAGAGGCGGAGAGACTATTAAAAGATTAGGCGGTTTTTCAAGCTTTCATGTACGTCCCCCATTTTTAGGTCACCGGCTTTGTAAAGCCTGGCTTAATTCGTTGAGAATGCGCTCTATTATGGAGGTAGCCATATACAAAGGTTCGCATGGTCCAATGGCAAGCACAGATATCAAAATAACTGTCATAACAACCGTTTAGGTGGTAAAATGGAATTTATTATTAGATGTGGTCCCTAGCCAGGACTGTACTTTGTTTAGTCAAACAGCATTCTTCAAATTTGCTTATAACTGGTACATCTCTTCACTATAACCTTTGGGGCACCAGCTTTGACAGCTTGCAGAACAAGAAAAACCTACAGGTTTCTTGTAGAGCAGGTACTTTCAACCTTCACTATCTCCAAAGTTTTACCAATGTCTGCTCAATGTCTATTCACTGTGACTCACTGTACTAAATCAGCAACAACAGTGACATCACAACAACATGAATCCACAATAAAGAGCCTTTTAGATTATGTCTTCAACTAAAGCTTTCAAGAATAATGCCAATGAGATAAAAGATTGTGATTGCCTTGGTACATGTAATATTCTTCTTCGAAATTTATATGCCTTAAAATGTGAGGCTACTTTTAGGAGCTGGATATCATGCAATCATACAATCATAATATTCAAAATGTTCACCCTCTTCTAAAATAATATTTTGGGCTTTTGGTTAATTACCTGCAATGTACTCAAGCTGGGGCACAGCAATGTCTGCATATTTCCTCGTTAAATATCCCCAGAAGGTGTTCATATGCTTAAACTTGGCTTCAGAGTCTGTCTTTGGTTTGGTTTCATTACTATTCAGGTGTTCTAATGTTTCATCTCTAAAGAAGGAGCCCCATAAAGAAGATGAAAGGAAAGCCTGCTCTTCTTTGCTAGGAAGCTACAAAAAATGCAAGAAAATCAATGAATTCTGCATGCACACAAAATTAGCCTTCTGTAAATTTCCAAAAGCTTGCAAAATTGTACTATTTCTTACAGGATATTGCCTGTTTACTTAGTTATCTCAACAGTCTAAGATCCCAGAAAATTGCAGTTGAAAAAGTGCAGGCCATTTTCAGAAATGTTCTTATGAAAACATCCATTTTAGAAGAGGACTATTGGTCACCAAGGAGACATGATGCCACAATGACATCGCAAACTTGTCACCTATTCATACATTGAAGCAACAGGCTTAGATTTCAAAATAGAAATTGATGCCTTGACTTGTAACCAGCATTTTGATAAAGAGCCACATAAAATATCTACAAATAGAGATAAATTAATTGTAATGTTGCAATTGCATGCATTGTACTAAATTGATGAAAATAAGAACGGAAAAAAAATGTGTACACACGCTATAATAAACATCATGAGAACAAACATTGTATGGCATAGTCACAAGTTCAGCTGTAGTCTAGATTAACTGTTGAATTTAAAGCCATATTAAAAATAAAATGTTTAAATAATGCAAAACTTTGGTTACCCCTTAGCACCACAAAGTCAGAAATGAAGTAGATTTACCTCGTGTTGAACAGTTTTCATTTTCTTAGTTTTTGGTTCCCCATCATCCTCTATTTGAACTTCTATGGTATGTTTCTGGCCCTTGCTTGTACATTCATAACCAACCATTCCTTCCGTCTCCATCTCCTCAAGGACGTACACGGTTTCCCAATTTGCATACATTTTGGAAGGAAAGACATCCGAGCGCAGACTGTCTCCGAAGAATGCTACCTGAAACAGTAGTTTTCAAATATCAATAAACAAAATTGCTAACATTGTGGAAAAAAGTTCAGATTTATTGATTATCATGTCATAAGTACCACCAGCATGAATGCTGGCAATAGTCATGGTTTTAGTCCAGACCCCTCTTGTACCACTCTGCATCATGTCGGCAGATACATAATTTAACACATCGTTCAGGTTATCCATCACGTAGCAAAACACATTCATACTAAATGGTATATTAGGATTAATTAAATTCTAAATATTTATGCAGCCAGCCAGTAAAAATCATGAAACTTAATTGTCAATATTCAAGTCCAAATATGACAAAATTTATTTTCACTTTTTCATATTTTTAATGAATTGTGTTGTTTTTAACAGAAATTATATTAAAGCTCTACAATGTCAGAATGAGTTATACAAGTCCTCCACCTTTAAAAGAAACAGGGTGAACAATCTGATACACTGCAAAGAGCCAAGAAATAATAACAATTCTAGTATAATAACTGTAATGACCAACTTTTAGATGCAAAATGCATATCATTATTATTTAAAAGAGCTTGGGACATTACCTTTGGATTTTCTTTTTCTGTTTGCTCTTGCAAGAATGAGACTAGTCCTTTCAAATTTCCTTGAGAATATGTGTGGTTTCTTTCAAGTTTCTGTACAGGTTCACGTTCCTTATCACCATCTAAAAATGTAGTTGTCATTTATTTTGTCACTCATGTCCTAAAAACCTGATACTTAATACAGTTTAAAAAGCACTTGAAGTAATTTTCAAAAAATTAAAATATTGAGTAAAAATTAAAATATGAAGTACTTGAGTCAGTAAAAATTAAAATACAGAAATGAAACTATAGAGAGCTAATCTGGCAAATATACAGACCTTAAAAAAGAAAAGACATTTCAACAATATTAAAAAAAAACTTATGTAAAAATAATCCTGCATGGATTTAATTCAAATCCACCCACTGAGTTAGGTAGTTTCCAGAAATGACAGAGTAATGATTAAATTATTCCAAAATTATGCACTATATTGATTTTTTAGCATTCTTCCTCTATGTTTACATTTTTTTTCTGAGATAACAACTCTAGGTATGAGATCTATATTTCACATTAAATACATTTTAAACAACTCATAGAAATATAATACAATTCATTTTTACCACAAAAACGGCAATTATAGCAATAAAACTGAAATCTGTACTTTCCATTTGACCACATGACCTCCACAGATGGCTATACTCTGTAATAATCTCTTATGAGATTATTACAAAAAAACTAACTTTTGAAAAAAAAAAAAAAAAAAACGGGGACTAACTTTGAATGTAGAAATGGATTCATTAACCATTGGTAAGTATGGGGAAAATTAATTTTTTGGCCAAAATGAACAGATGTTATCCCTTTAAGCTTACCAAAAAAAGCAGTAACAATTAACACTCATCACTGTGCAAGTGATACTCACCAAGTCTTAGAAAGTGATTGTTCTTGTGGAAAAATCCTGGTTTTTTAGCATTGGTTATGATGATATCAAAGTAGGATTTCCAGTCTGATCTGCAAAGGTAAAACCATATGAACACACATACAAGTCATGTGAGGAATGCAGATTGTTTCCAAGAGAGGGAAAGGTGGAGCAAAAGGGTGGTCAGGGGGTCCAGGAACACAGAGTTGGGTAATCTACTGTAATGTCTCTTGGTATTCATCTCTACTTTCATCAAAATATATATTTTGAATTTTAAATGTGCCAAGCAATGAATATGTGTAATATCAAAGAAACATAGAGATGGACTCCTTGTTCCATTCCAACAATAGCTGAAATGAAGAAATTGAATTCTGATACTTAATTCATGGAGCATTTTAAAAACCTTTAAAATTCTATGCACATAATTATGCCACATGTCTCTTTATGAAGTGTGGTTAGTAAAGAGACTCCAGGAAGAATATTTTAAGTAGTCTTATATCCACCACAACTCCCACCTGGTAGGTTAAAAAAAATTCAGTTTTTTTTTTTTTTGATAATTGTCTTATGCGGTACATCTGGCTGGCCTCCTTTATCCTCATCTAGGGTCACAGATTAATTTTCACTAGATATTCTCAGATATATCTCTGGCTAATTCATGATACAAATATCTGCTACAGAAAAATGCATATTATTAATCCGTGGCCTTGGTTGAGGGTAGGCCTCCTTTTTCTACTTTGGTAAGTGACACAATCCTCAAAACTGATAGTCTTGTTTAGAAATTTTATGCCCAGTTTCATGAGAAACCATTTTTAGTTTAAATCTGGGTCTACGGCTTCGTTCACATGGAAAGTCTATTTTCTAAAAATCTATTTTCTATTCGCGGTATCTTATGATCACAGTCTGTGCCCTGAATATCCCGCGGCGTAATTACTGGCGGCGCGAGCCAGTTACTTATACAAAGCTGTAATTAATTCTCGGCTGTGCTCGCATTCTATAAAATCTCATCCTCCGTTGCCGCATCGCTTGCCATCGGATCATGACGGTTGCACTCGTATCTGTCGTGTGTATAGCTTCTTCATCTTCTTCGTCTTGTCGTTGCACAAAATCGACAAACACATTGTTCAAAGCAACCGCGACCGTCATTAACTTTTTAACTTCCTACTGCGCATGCATCAAGGTATCAGAATCTCCTCCGAGCACAGCCGAGAATTAATTACAGCTTTGGAAGTATACTGGCTCGCGCTGCCAGTAATTACGCCGCGGGATATTCAGGGCACAAACTGTGATCACAAGATATACCGCAAATAGAAAATAGATTTTTAGAAAATAGACTTTCCATGTGAATGAAGCCTACATCTGCAGCTTCAGTGTTTGTTTTGGGATGATTACAACTTATTGACATGAATCTGCCCATGGCCATGATGTGAATGCACAGTTTTATACATATGTGTTTCACAAGTAGACATACTTATTTGGCATGCAGATGCTTATTTGTTTCTCTGCTCTCTTATTTCAGAAAAATTCAGGTTTAACATGTATCAAAAAGCAAATTCTTACCCAAGTGAATATTCCGCAACATGAGATGCAAAATTGACATAAGATGTAGTCAGCATAAATACTGTCTTCTTTTCTTCCTTTAGTTTCCTGAGCCAAGATTTGACTTCTTCTGTTCTTTTATTGCAATATTTTTCAACATCTTTTTTGATAGCTGGAAAAAATCCTCCTGCATCCTCTGAAACAAGGCAATATTCAGTATTGTTTATAGATATATTTCTTCGGATGTAGGTATACATATTTGAGATTTTTCTATATACAGGACATGTAAGTGTCCTTAAGAATAAAAAATTGCGGTTCATATATTTAGTTTCAAGGTTAATTTTTTAGTAATTTTAATTGTACTTCTGCTACTAGGTTATAGGAACTTGGAAAAAACATGTCTGAATTATAACATAAAATATGAGTAATGTACCTGTAAATGCCTGGTGCCTATAAGAGTTATTATAGCCAGCTATGACATCGTTCCACAGAAACTTGTAGTCTTCAATAGGTTTTTCTGCCTACAGGGTAAAGTTTTGAGATATCATGTTGATTTTTAATGCAAAATTGAAACTGAAGCAGTTTACCTAACATTGTCGATTTATCAAACTTTTCCACTAAAAGTTATTTATGAATCATTTGTCCATTTCTGGACAGTTTAGTGGGAAAATTTTAAAGAAAAGCAGTTTAGTTGAAAAGAAAAAAAAGTACATTTTTACCTTCTTGTCAACCATGTCTACCAGTCTTCCAAATATCAATATCCCTATCATATCAAAGTAATTTTCAAAAATCATGTAGGTATCTGCAAGTAAAAAGAGAGCATAAATTGCCCGTTTCAAATCTTTCTTTTTCAGTAAACAACAACAACCACGCTAATAATAATAATAATAATAATAATAATAATAATAATAATAAAAGAGTAGGAAAGGAGTTTTTATTCTTCCAATCACCTGCATTGTTCACTGAACCCATCAATTCATCACTGTGCTCCCATTTTCTGCTTTTTCCAAATACTTCCTCAATGTCAGCATCAGTCATAAAGCGTGTCCCATGACTTGCCCTATAATAATATATGGCCAACTTGTTGAATCTATGTACTAGTACCTATATCTTCTCAGTTACAAAAAAATAAAGAAAGAAAGAAAAATAAGATACCCAGGGCACAAGGTTTGAAATTTGCATATGAATTTTTTTAATGTAAGAAAAAATGTATAACTTTAATGCAAACAGTTGGAACAGAATATAAGGTCCATTCTTCATCCTGTTAATTTTTGTACAACTACACAAAATAAAATAAAATACACTACATATTTATGCTTTCAGTAATGAGATAATGATATATTAATATACAATATGAGCGAGTGTAAGCTGTCTCACCAGCATAATATTGACAAAACATGTTTCTTGAAAGAGTAATAAATAATGCAAATATTCAACGTGGCAGTGAAACCAAGGTTTCTTGGTTCATGTACTAACCCCTACCCCGAGTTTTGGATCTTATCAAGAATGATGGTTTGTTTATTTATACATCACTATATCAATATGCATTTTTTTTTCATCACACTGTGACCTTTATTTGGCATCATGGTTGCTCAGCTATCAAATTGTGCGTTTTCACAGAAACAGACCACTTTTATTTCATGGCTGCTGTGGTTATGAAGGCGACATCTATATTTAGAGATGCCAACTTAAGTAATTTATATGAAAACAGGTTTTTCAATGTGAGTGTCAGAAGCTCAGGGCAAGAAAGTCAGGAAACCCATAAATTTGCATACATTTTTTAAAAAATATTTAATGGAATAGACAGCAAATCTTGCAAATACACTGAATTTTACCAAAGAAACCCAATCAGCAACTTTGATTTGAAAAAAAAAAAAGGCACTTATGAGGGCAACATTGCCAAAATAAACTGTGTCTGTATGTAAAATAGGGATGTTAAACGTATTTTGCTCCTCTTCTTATACCATATGCAAAACATACAGTATATCCTCTACTTTTAGCTACGAAACCAGCCACTCCTACCTTAGAATTTTTCCATTTTCATCCAACTTCAAAAAGTTCCCTTTGATTTTGTCATATATTAAACCCTTTGTGCTGAAATGGCAATATGATAGAGAATAAAAGGGTTAATTCAAGAGAGAAATGAGTTACACGAAGAGTTAAATTACTATGGAGCGACTTCATTATCCACAGGAGCTTGTAGCTTTAATCTTAAAACATTTGTTCATAAAGGGTGAAAAAAGAAGTCCCTTTGGGCAAAAGTGACCTGAAACTCCTGCCATGGTCACGACAAATGAAAGTCCTTAACAAGGGACTGATTACCTGGAAAACTGTGCATATGATGAAACTTATTTTTACCCTCCCCAGCAGAAAATACAATTAACACATATTCCTGTTTGTTATTTGTCACAAATTGTGTAATTTGTCTCTTTCAAAATTCTAACTGTTACAGTAATAAAGATGCTGCTGCACATTCTTTTTTGATGTTTGGGCTTCATAAGGCCGGCTGAGCATCATGTCAATGGAGCGTTATTTGGTACATAAAACTATGTTTAAAGATACAATCTCACCAAAAATCTTCATCTTCACTAAAAGGCCTACACAGGTCTTCATCATAGCCTTTCTCTTTTACTAAATACTGCACCACAGCATCAAAAGAGAGCTAAAAGAAATAAAATACTATTATAGTATGTATTTACTTTACATCATGCATTATTTTTTAGAATTCTGTCAAAAAAAAAAAAAGGAAATTATCAGTTTGTGCACATACAAAATAACCAGTTTTTTTTAGAGGTGGGCGTATAAAATGAAGAAACTAAGGACATCTCTTGAGACTCGACCAACTTTGACCTTGTAAACCATAGTCCATTTTCCATTACATTCACAAGGGTTCTTGCCAAGTGAATATGCGCCATATTCAACAGAATAAGGGGAACAGATTTTTGTCTTGGATATGTGGAAATCAGCAGATGTCATTCCATTTCCTAAACCTATTGGAAACAATATAATTTACATATTCAGCAAAATGTTGGAATTGTTTGTTGGGTCATTCCATATCAACTCATCCAGCGAGGGTACCCTCCGTCAAGAAACTTGCTGATTTTCACATATTTTGTAGATATTATAGGGACTAGAAAAAACCTAAAATTTTAGATTGAGATCTCAACTGGTTTCAGAGTTATGACACTCCAAAGTTGGGCCCAGCTGAGAGCTTGCTGTGCCTCACATGAATCTAGGTCATGGTGACCTAGTTAAGAAAATCACTAAAACAAAAGTTCTAAGTATCCCATTGCTATGTTACTTTCATGATTTTATCTTTTAGTATTTAAGGAATCCAATTATCCAATTGAAAATTGTTTGACACAAACAAAATGCATAAAATTTTTACTTTGGAAAATCCTTGTCATTTTTTAAAAATGAAGGACACCCCACCCTTTTAATCTCATTTTTCTCAATGTCTCCAACCAGACAGGTGTTTTTGCTTTATGTCATTTGAAAGAGGGGGGTTTGAACTTTTAAGTGAAAGTGTTAAATCAATTTGTATATTTTGGAGACAAAAATAATAATGCATTATTTAAAAATTGTGTGATGNTATCTGAATTATAACATAAAATATGAGTAATGTACCTGTAAATGCCTGGTGCCTATAAGAGTTATTATAGCCAGCTATGACATCGTTCCACAGAAACTTGTAGTCTTCAGTAGGTTTTTCTGCCTACAGGGTAAAGTTTTGAGATATCATGTTGATTTTTAATGCAAAATTGAAACTGAAGCAGTTTACCTAACATTGTCGATTTATCAAACTTTTCCACTAAAAGTGATTTATGAATCATTTGTCCATTTCTGGACATTTTAGTGGAAAATTTTAAAGAAAAGCAGTTTGGATGAAAAGAAAAAAAAAGTACATTTTTACCTTCTTGTCAACCATGTCTACCAGTCTTCCAAATATCAATATCCCTATCATATCAAAGTAATTTTCAAAAATCATGTAGGTATCTGCAAGTAAAAAGAGAGCATAAAATGCCGATTTCAAATCTTTCTTTTTCAGTAAACAACAACAACCACACTAATAATAATAATAATAATAATAATAATAATAATAATAATAATAAAAGAGTAGGAAAGGAGTTTTTATTCTTCCAATCACCTGCATTGTTCACTGAACCCATCAATTCATCACTGTGCTCCCATTTTCTGCTTTTTCCAAATACTTCCTCAATGTCAGCATCAGTCATAAAGCGTGTCCCATGACTTGCCCTATAATAATAATATATGGCCAACTTGTTGACTCTATATACCTATATCTTCTCGGTTATAAAAAAATAAGATGCCTAGGGTACACTAGTTGTTTAGAAAATCTAGCTTCTTTCCAGCTATTTATTATATATATATATATATATATAAATATATATATATATATTAAGTTTGAAATTCTTTTGATTATTTCATAAATTTGCATATGAATTTTTTTAATGTAAGAAAAAATCTATAACTTAAATGCAAACAGTTGCAACAGAATATAAGGTCCATTCTTCATCCTGTTAATTTTTGTACAACTACACAAAATAAAATAAAATACACTACATATTTATGCTTTCAGTAATGAGATAATGATATATTAATATACAATATGAGCGAGTGTAAGCTGTCTCACCAGCATAATATTGACAAAACATGTTTCTTGAAAGAGTAATAAATAATGCAAATATTCAACGTGGCAGTGGAACCAAGGTTTCTTGGTTCATGTACTAACCCATACCCCGAGCTTTGGATCTTATCAAGAATGATGGTTTGTTTATTTATACATCACTATATCAATATGCATTTTTTTTTCATCACACTGTGACCTTTATTTGGCATCATGGTTGCTCAGCTATCAAATTGTGCGTTTTCACAGAAACAGACCACTTTTATTTCATCACTGCTGTGGTTGTGAAGGCGACATCTATATTTAGAAATGCCAACTGAAGTAATTTATATGAAAACAGGTTTTTCAATGTGAGTGTCAGAAGCTCAGGGCAGGAAAGTCAGGAAACCCATAAATTTGCATACATTTTTAAAAAAATATTTAATGGAATAGACAGCAAATCTTGCAAATACACTGAATTTTACCAAAGAAACCCAATCAGCAACTTTGCTTTGAAAAAAAAGGCAACATTGCCAAAGTAAACTGTGTCTGTATGTAAAATAGGGATGTTAAACATATTTTGCTCCTCTTCTAATACCATATGCAAAACATATATCCTCTACTTTTATCCACGAAACCAGCCACTCCTACCTTAGAATTTTTCCATTTTCATCCAACTTCAAAAAGTTTCCTTTGATTTTGTCATATATTAAACCCTTTGTGCTGAAATGGCAATATGATAGAGAATAAAAGGGTTAATTCAAGAGAGAAATGAGTTACACGAAGGGTTAAATTACTATGGAGCGACTTCATTATCCACAGGAGCTTGTAGCTTTAATCTTAAAACATTTGTTCATAAAGGGTGAAAAAAGAAGTCCCTTGGGCAAAAGTGACCTGAAACTCCTGCCATGGTCACGACAAATGAAAGTCCTTAACAAGGGACTGATTACCTGGAAAACTGTGCATATGATGAAACTTATTTTTACCCTCCCCAGCAGAAAATACAATTTACACATATTCCTGTTTGTTATTTGTCACAAATTGTGTACTTTGTCTCTTTCAAAATTCAAACTGTTACAGTAATAAAGATGCTGCTGCTGCACATTCTTTTTTGATGTTTGGGCTTCATAAGGCCGGCTGAGCATCATGTCAATGGAGCGTTATTTGGTACATAAAACTATGTTTAAAGATACAAACTCACCAAAAATCTTCATCTTCACTAAAAGGCCTACACAGGTCTTCATCATAGCCTTTCTCTTTTACTAGATACTGCACCACGGCATCAAAAGAGAGCTAAAAGAAATAAAATACTATTACAGTATGTATTTACTTTACATCATGCATTATTTTTTAGAATTCTGTCAAAAAAAGGAAATTATCAGTTTGTGCACATACAAAATAACCAGGTTCTTTTGGAGGTGGGCGTATAAAATGAAGAAACTAAGGACATCTCTTGAGACTCAACAACTTTGACCTTGTAAACCTTAGTCCATTTTCCATTACATTCACAGGGGTTCTTGCCAAGTGAATATGCGCCATATTCAACAGAATAAGGGAAACAGATTTTTGTCTTGGATATATGGAAATCAGCAGATGTCATTCCATTTCCTAAACCTATTGGAAACAATATTATTTACACATTCAGCAAAATGTTGGAATTGTTTGTTGCCATATGGATTGGGGTATAAATCAACTTTGACAGAAGATAGTTCAGAGTAGTCAAGGGCAGCTCCACAACACATACTGAGACTGAACTCATTAAAAATTGGACACAAGGTCTACAGCCTTCTCAAAAGTGCAAATTGTATGCCAAAATCTTCTTGGACTTTTCAAAGCCATTTGACGCCATTGTTAAACACATTTTGTTGAGGAATTAAGCTACATGCCAAAGGTGTGCCCAGCCCACTTGTCAGATGGGTGTAGTAAGTTGAGACTTGTGTGCAAGTCTGAACTTTTTGGAGACAATAGCATGCCACATGTTTCTACAAACTATTTATACTCAACTGTATGTGTTGCTAGTGATCTAAGAGAAAACATTTTAGTGAAGTTTGACGATGACACAATATCAGTTGATCTAATTCATGATTATGAGAAAGGCAAATAAAGACAATTGGTAAAATCTTTTGTGAACTGGTGTTCAGACAAAAAATTGATCTTGAATAACAGCAAAACAAAAGAGTTGGTTGTAGACTACAGAAGGCATCAAAGCTGTGAAGAGATAGGAAGTGAAGCTGTTAACAAGTCTGCAATAACAAGTTATTGGGTGTTGAATAGGACAATAGACTAACCTGGAGTGATATAACACCACAAAAGTTTAGAGAAAGGCAGGCAGCAAAAGTACTTTTCTAAAAGATATTGAAAATTTTTATCACAAATTTGTCCATTTTAAAAACCGTTTACAGGTGTGCTATATGAAGTATTTAAAACTTTTGTGTTAATTGTATGGTATTGGGCGTGCAGCTGGAAAAAGAGAAAAGATACATGTAGTCTACGACTCAAAGTATTCATTGCTCTGTAGAAAGCTACATGTACACTGTACCGTAACGGTACATGTACATGTACTGTATAACTTAAGCACCAAAGAACAATGGAATACGAAGTTAAATATAGAAAAGATTAAATGCAGGATATGTGAAGCACTTACACTCATCATCTCGGGCACTTTGTATTTTGCCAGAGTATGGTCGAGATCAAAGCCAACGGCATCGTACTCTGACAAGTCAAATAACATGGTTCTTGCCTCTGTGAAACAAATGGGAATTGGGTCAATTGAATAAGATTGTTTACGATCTTTTGTTATTTTTATAATCTACAGTACGTTATTCGGAGTAATGGAATCTTACTCTTCAATTTGTAATATGTCTTATTTGCTTATCACGGAGGATATGTGCAGTTACATCTATTGTAAATAAGAGTCTATGAACATTTGAATACAACTACCAAAAATGCACGTGTGAATTGATGGCTCCAAATTAGGTCAAATTAAAGCATTGTGGGAAGGATCTCGGCAGTACACGATTTCACCACCATACAGTGTGCTAACCTTACCTATAAACATTTGAGTAAAAGAACAAGAACAAGACAAGATTTCATCATAATGCCAGGAGGCAAGAAACAGCATGCCCAGCGTACTAAAGGAAACGTCAGGGTGAGTATAACAGCTGATTTAAGTCCACAAGTAAAATTATAATAAATATTTTCGCACAATTTCCAACTTACAAGGTACTCAGCACATATGCACATCATGTACCCTCTACCAGGGCGACAGATTGATTTTTCACAGATAATCACAGATAGGTCTCTAGATAAATAGACATTCATTTTGGTCTGATGTCGATTCAGAAAAAATGTCCACAATAATAACTGAGACCCTGGTAGAGGGTATACATTATGTATGTATACAGAGGTGCAGGCATACTGTACAGGTACAACAAGTACTGTAAATTATAGCCATGTCTGTTCTATGCAATACATTACAGTTGCATTTGCCTATGATGTATTTGCCTATGTACTGGCCTGGATTAACCACAAACAAGGCTCCGTATCTACAGTGTATTATCACTGACATCTGTTTAGTAGCATTGGTAGTAAGACTTGATTTAAGGAAATAAAATACACCAAGTACAGTAAATGATGGAGGCAAACAACTTGCGGTATATTCAGTCACTTTGTGTATTTGTTCTCACATATATTTTTGTGATAAACAGAATCTTACCTACAAATGATGCTGTATGATGTGCTGTTTTAACACATGCAATCTTATTGTTTTTTTTTTCCAACATAAAAAGTTTGTCTTACATAATCCACAGCTAGATCCTGTACGTGTCACTTTTACAGATGTACTTTTTGTATTTTTTTCTATTTCTAGCCCTCTAGTAGTGGACGTGCAGCGGAGCTCTTAGCAGCAAGTAGTGGAGGCAATGTCCATGGGTTTGTTGGGTTCCAGACACTGTCTGGGGACTTGGGCTATGTACCTGCTGCTGGCGCAACTGATGAGGCAGATAGCAGTGTGGATCCAGACTTCAGAATGGTGCTGAGGAAACTGTCCAAAAGAGATACAACCACAAAGCTCAAGGTTTTTATACAAACTACAAATATTTTACGTAGTAGGACAGTTATATAAGGTCCAGCCTGGAAAGTCCATTCAGCCAAATCAACACACAGCTGTATAAGAGAAACTGAAAAAAATTTTGTGCCAACCAAAGAATTTGAACATTCTGCTAATTTTGCTATTGTGTTCATGTCCATATTATTGTTCTCTTTTGTTTCAGGCCCTTCAGGAGTTTAGTGTGCTGTGCAAGGAAAAAGATACAGAAGTTGTGAAAAGTGTACTTCCCTACTGGCCTCGACTATATAATAAAATTGCACTGGTAATCAGGGTTTCCACGAGATTTTTTAAATTTGGGGTCATTTTTCACCCAAGCTGTAAAATTGAGGGATAAGTCTAATTAATGTAAATATGTGTCTGTATGTCAATGTATAAGAAAGTGAGGGTAATTTTCTATGAAAGTATTGGAGCGATCCACGAAAATGGCACTAATGGAGGCCAAGGTAATACCAAATGCTAAATCATAAAAGAAAAAAAGAAAGAAAGTAAACAAAAAAAAAAAAGAAAATGGTATAAACATGTGATTTAAGAAATATCAACAAGAAATCTTTTATCTGTTTTCAGGACAATGATAGACGAGTACGTGAAGCAGCACAGCATGCTTTTGAGCAGTTGTTGTTGAAAGTAAAGAAGAGTATAGCTCCTCACCTCAAGCCTTTAATGGGTGTGTGGCTAATCAGTCAGTGTGATGCCTATGCCCCAGCAGCATCGGCTGCCAAAGCTGCTTTTCTAGCTGCCTTTCCAGTTTCAAAACAGTCAGATGCTGTCGCATTTTGCAAGGAGGAAGTTATGAATGTAGGCACCTTATTTCTATTTTCATTTTCATATTTTGTCAAAGATATTTGATTTATGTATTAAATGATATAATTGATTATGATTAGCAGTTTAAAAAGGTGCAGTGTGAGTGTAAATATATGATTAAATATAATAGTTATAACATGAAATACATCTAATTAGGTTATTTGAATGAGCTGATACTTTGTTTCCTCTTCAGTATCTAATCGATAACTTAATAGACCAGACAGCTAAAACATTGAGTGACCCAAAGTAAGTTTTTTGCATTCTGCTGGTACCAAATAAAACTTATTTTATTTTTGCAGTTGCATAATAAATTTATCATTTAAAACATTGCTTTCTCAGAATGTGAAATGGCAGATGTTACAGTCTCATAATTCTCAAAATCGAAGTGATTTTTTTAGTGTTTTCTATACTTGTTTATTTTTCATTTTAATGCCCTTTTTGATGAACTACTATCTTACATTTCTTTGTTTAAGATATCTCACTCTGATATATTTTTCTTGTTTTAAACCCATTGATATCTGTATCAAAAATATACAACCTTTGTCTTTCTTATCCATCTTGTGTTTACTAAAAGGACCACCCCAGAAGAAGAGATGGAGCAAAAGTACCAGAGAATGTTGATGTCCTCTCTCCATGCATGGAAGATGTTGATCAATGTGGTGTCAGCCGAGGAACAAGAGAGTTTGCTTGATAAGTACAAGAAAATCCTTAAGGAAAATAAATTTTGGAAAAACCTAGGAAAACATCAAAATGGAATGGTAAGTCATAAGTTTTAGTGGCACTGTGCTTGATGGATGACTTGTTAAAATTTGTATAAGAATCTGACACAGTTGATTTTATGTAGTAATGTTTTTAGACACAGATTTTATTCTAACAGTAAGTTTTTTTACATTGAGTATCCATAGTATCCATAGTATTCCATTTCCATAGAAATGAAAGAAAGTTTAATTATTAGCTAACTTTGTCCTGGATCTAGACCCTAGATAAATATACCACCC